TCATATTATGATCTCAATGGATCTCAAGATAAAAACATTTATATCATTTTATAGGTGCTATTTATATATTGTGATACATATATTACGTTAAAACATTTAATGTATATTTATGCCAAATATTCAATTAATACGATACTGCTGAATTTGAAACCAAACAACAGCTATTAAATATTGGCTTGTTTGCACCTAGACATAACAGCCCAATGGACGTTAACGTTAAGATATATATTTTTTACCACAAATTATTTTTCTTTACTTATTTATTTATTTATAGGATTACCAACATAAAATACAGCTAAACATTTCAATACAATACACTGGTAGATAAGATCTAATTGTTCTTACATTTATAGGCAACCACAGCATGCCTTGTGTTTGATAAACATTAAAATAGAATTAAAATATTAAATGTCATTAGATAAGTAAAAATATTAACAATATGAATAATAACATAATATAAATAATCAAAATTGTAATTAAATTATTTTAAATTATAAATATAATGCAATGGCGAGGTACATCAACATTTTAATTTAGCCATAAACACAGGGTGACAATCGTTGTGAATATCAACTTCTTTTACTTACAGCTTTTTAATATGTTTAATTGTTATAAAATGTGAAAGCAAGATTGTTTTTAAGCAATTTCAAAAATGTTCTTAATTTTGCTATTTTTTTTTACAACTAAGTTATGTATTTTTTTAATGGGTGATAATGGAATGGTAACCCCTACCCGCGCTATTGGTATACACCGGCGGGGCAACAGTGAGGAATTCAACAAGAATTGTTCACGATGGTTTCCAGGGAGAATCACGTGGAGGTCGACCTGATAGAGCATATTGCTAGCAATGTCGAATTCCATTGCTAACAATACCTTTGCCCCCACTAAGTTACGTGTTAGGCCCCCAATTATAAATTTTTTTTTTTAATCGATAGGTTTTAACGATTAAAGTTGCTATTGATTCTTAGAGGCACAAAAAACGGCTAGTTGCGATGCAAAATCTCCTTGTGGACACGCGATTTTGCGTTCTGAATAAAATATCAAATACTTTCAAAATAAATGTTATCTTCCAATATCAGGCCCTGTTGTAACGCAATATGCAAGGAAATTCCTTGTATATCCCGTCCACAAATTAATCTCTCATATTTTCATTTAAAATAGTTGCAATATCACAGAATCTCGCGACCTTATTTCCACTACGTACTTTGCTACACTCTGTCCTTCGTGCTGCCAGCAAGCTAAATTGAAATCGTTCCGCTAATATGGAGAGTTTAGGAGATAAATGTCCTTACATTAACTTTTTAATTTATACTGCAATGGTTTTTTTTGGTCCGCAAAAAGTTTACTCGAGTTCATAAGTTGTTTCCTCAATCACATAAATTAATGTGGGTACTATAAAATCTTTCTTTGTTCCGTTAACTAAAAAGTACATTTCGATTCGTGAACGATAAGATGTTCAGTTCCTATTTATAATATCAAAGTCACATCATTTTTACACTCACCGTGTTCAGTAACGTAAATATTGACTCCGAAATAGTAGTTTACTTTAAAATCCCATCCTCGTTGCCAAATCAAAATAAAAAACTGCGCAAAAACATATTATTAATAATAAATTATGAACTGAATTCAAAACATATATAATACGAATTCACGAAACATCTTATCGTTCATTAATTTATGTTTTAGACAGAAGTCGCTATCTTGCAGAGCAAAACGTACATTCTTGTGTTAGCTTTGTCAAGTCCACTGATTTTTCCATAAAAATGTCGACAGAAATAGGAACGGGTTTGAAGGAGTGAAACTGCAATAAACAGCTAATACAACTTAGTTGTCAAACTTGTGGTACATGACGTCACAAACTGAATTTGCAATTTGATTTTCATTGTGATAATACAACGATATTTAAGTATTATTATTACTCAATGGTCTTAGTAGATCGTCGATATACAAAAAAAATCACAATCCCATAAAAAAGTTATACTTAGAACTGTTATATTTTAAATTGAAAAAATTTACATTTACCACAAGACAACGAATAAATGAAGTCAAACTTATACCGTAAATAAAGAATTATATGTTTAAACGTAATAATTATTACGAAATATGTAATATTTCAGTCATTACTAAATGAGATTTCTTTTATACCACGTGGCAAACAAGTATACAGTGAATCTGATGAAAGTCTATAGACGCCTGCAACAGTAGGGGTGTCACGTGCGCGTAGCCGATTCCGATGGAACCTTAATATTCTCTTTGAAGAAACTCATACTCTAGGGAAAACCGGAAAAAAGGTATTGAAGAAATGAGTGCAAAATTTGATTAAATGCTTTCTATTTTCGGTGTCGACTTTCTTGGCTCTATGTTATTATTCGGTTTTCAATATATTAATGTAATTAATATTCTAATTATAATAATTGTACTCATCTAAAATTAATATTTACCCAAAAAATAGCTAACGTGTATTAAATCATCTCTAATTTGATATACCTAGATATACAAATAATTACGGCAATATTTTAGGGGATTGAGCAGCGTTGTTGCGCGCATGCGAGAACGAGGCAGAATTCCGTTGTCGATTACTTACTCTTCGACAACAGAAACTCGTTTATATTTTAAAAACAGATAGGAATAGACAGAAGCGCCACCTTGGTAAATTCACGTTTTACTTCTACTGTCATATTTTGTTTAGTGTAAAAATACTAGGAACATTTGAACGCACGTCTATACCACAAAATCACAACCTTTTACTAAAATATATATTGAAAATAAAACATGTTATGCGAGATGTATTTGGTGGAGGATTTGTTACAGAGACAGATAGAATGGTACGCTCGCCAGCGCTTATTGGTTTACGCTAACGGGTACCAATAAGAATTATAGGTGAGGATAAATTCATATATGTTGTTTTATCGTGATTCATTCCACTAAAATATATCGCGTAAACTCTATGTAAAGGGTTAACATGCCACATGTAATACATATTTGGTCACGCTTTCGCTTTTAGACACTAGCAAAATACGCAATGTGCTATAGCCCCATCTCGTCATATAGGTATGCAGTTCAACACACGAATTGTGTTTCTGGCGAAATGTTGATGTGACAATCTGAGCTTGTGGCAAACTGCATATAGTTGATCTTCTGCATACATGACATGGAAAGTTATGACATGCATATACCACATACTTTGAGGTATTTATTTGAGAGGAAAGTGGGGGGGGGGGGGGGGGACACTTAAATTGAATATTTAATGGTTTATTCACCTGTTTCTTCTCAAAACTCAACACTTTAATAGTGTTCCATTCACCTTTATATTACCCTAATCACATGTCACAATGTATTAATGCGAATGTTTCTGAATTAAGTTTTCTTATTTACTACCTCAAATTAATAAGACACACTATTAATTAATTTGAATCATTGTAATGATATATTATTCATAATCTCATTATAAAGCTATCAACATTAATAAATATTATTTTGATATAAATTAATTTTCCTGAGGCAACTCCATCACCATGATGATTAAAGAAGTTATTTATTTATACTGGCTGGAAAAATGAAAACAATGAATCATGATATACAAGGCAGTTCTATTTTTAAATTAAATGTGAATAAAAAAATGGCATTATAATCCATTTTACTGAAAATGTATATATAAGGTATTGTTATTTTTTTCTTAAGATAGCTTTGTTTATAAAAATACTATACACATACACTATACATACAGAGATGACTTACAATAAATAAATTAATCAGAAATATGATGATAGTCTTACCAACAGGAATTTATAACCAAAGTAGAAAAATATCACAGAAATTTCATCCAAATTTCATTAATAAAATAATTTTTTTTTAACAAAGAAATTAGCAGTACAAAACTTTGTTTTAAGTGCATTTCAATCACAATTTAAATCAATTTAAAATAATTCTTGTTAAATAGTAACTTAGCCAAAATTTATTACATGGAATTATCTCTAAAAGTCTAAGAAAACAAAATTGCTCTCTTGCTTTTTTACACCAATATGTGTAAATACTTCAACACAAACAACAAACATTAGTCATATTATTTTTGTTGTCCTAATTATTCTATCCCTATTATATAATTTAACAATGTGATGAAATACCTATTTATGATTGAAAACATTTTTCAGTAATTTTCTAATGTAACAAATGTTTTTGCAAGTGTTTGGTAGTAAATAAAATATTATGAAGAAAAAATCCAAATCTACACATTTTATACACATGCTCATACAAGAAATAGGAATTAAATTATAATTTGATTAATTAAAATTAATCAAATAATAATAAATATGTTTATTTTTTTAACTTCAATATTAGTTAATTTTTTAAAACTATTGTCACATACTCAAATTTATATGTATATGATACTAATATATTTTCTAGTTTAGCAAAGTTGTTTGTTGTGTTTGTGAAAACAAAAACAAAGTCCAGATAACTGTTTTTTATTACAATTCAACTTAAAAAATATATATTAATTTATTATGTATCAAACTGAGACCTCATTTCTAAAAATTAAAAGTGAACTCAATAAATGTTTCTTGACTGCTATATATTTTAAGTGCAATACCAAACACAGTATAATTTTTCGATATTTAGATGTAGTTAAATTTAAAATTTATATATATTGCAACTTTCATAAATTGTAAATTAAATATTTAAAAACATTTAAATAAAACAACATTAAATATTTTATGCAGTAAGTTTATAGTACTGTAATAATAGATACGAAATTTATTCAAATTACGATCGGAGGGTAATTTAATGGCAGTTTACAAATAAATTTAAACATTTTCCTAAGCTGTTACTACAAAAACAACTGTATAACATATTTTTTAAGGATATACATGAAGAAATTATCGATTAAAATATTAAAATTATACTTTAATGACACGGACTTAGGTGCATTGTTTTTCAAGCTATAGAAAGGTATTTATAAATATGGAGATGTGAATCATTATTGTGTATACTTTCGTACTCACCAAAAATAACTCATGTCCATGAAGTAAAATCATGAAGATACTGGTTACCGTTAATTGAATTCATTAACCATCAGTTCTTAGTATATGTACAATAACTTTCGTCCAGTCAACATGTAATTATACAAGAAATTATTAATGCCTGACAATGCAGGTAGATTGTACGGATAGCTTTTCTTTTGGTGCAGTGACCTATTCTACGAGTCCCAAATAACTTCAATAACTTCAATAATTTTATTGCACTAACTCTACATACCGTCGATAATCACATTTAAATATAGTCCGTAAGCTATTAGCTTACATTATAATTATTTTATCACAAAATAACACTGAAAACATCAGCGGTGAATGAACGATCAATGATTAAAAAAAAAAAAAGAAATTTGACATTGCTAGAGCAATCTTACAATATTGTTTATAGAATCGCTCGATTATGTAAATTTTCTTTTCCAATTGTAAATGTAACATCAAGTATTTTCCAATTACTTTTTCTTTTTTTAGATATATTATGTAGGTAATATAAATAATACACATTTTTATTTTAGTCTACTGATAAATATATTACGTTTTTAAATAAATTGTACATTTGTTGTAATGACAAAATAACTTTTTTTTTTTTAATCTGGATTAGCAATCAATCTTTTTATATGCGAGGTTCAAATAGCAATAAGAAATTAAAAATCATTGATTCTAAAATTTTAATTTATGGCTTGTGGCCTAAAGAATCCTAAAAAATATATGGCAACTTTGCTTTGTTAAAACATGTATTTTTATAACACGGGGTAATTGAGTTCCTGTACGGCTCACTTGATGGTAATGACTGAGAATGACTACTGCCACCCATGAGCACCCGCACTATTAGAGGCATTGCAGGTGTACTGTTGGCCTTTTAAAAAGAAATATACAAACTTTTTTCTGAAGATTAGGCTGTATGGTTTAGTTCCTTTGACTTTCCCATTGTGGTTAATTGATACTATTAATACTGTCAAATAAGCCGAAGTATAAAGAAAAAAAATACTGTCAAATAATGTCAACTTTCGCGCGCTAATGCGGAATATTGACAGAACTTACTTTGTAACTTTGTTATTTTTACTTAGTAAAAGTCAATAAAACACATAAAATTATTTATATTTTTAAATTGTTATTGTATTTTTAAAAACTATGTCAACTCCTTCTAAACGACCATCTTCACGGGCATCGTCAGAAGCCCCCACACCTTCACGTAGAACGCGTTCGTCACAACAAATCGTTGTGCCGGAAACTCCTCAACGGTCAACAGGGACACCTTCTAAAGGTAAAGTGAATAACAAAAATCCTAGTTTTGTATCTGTATTTATATAGTAAGCTATATCAAACCAAAGCTGTTTAGACTTGGATTTTATTATTCAAAATATATCCAAATCAGGAGTATCTCAAAAACGTGTTTGAAAAAATGTCATAATCTGTGTAATTTTATTTCCAGATGGAACTCCAGGTACACCTAGAGGGACATCTCGTACACCTAGAAGTACACCCCGCACCCCTGGTGTTCAGATTCCTAGCACATCACCAGCTCGTGCCCTAGCATCAAGTCCGATTGGTAATGAAATTAAGTTTATTATATGTATATAATTAAGCAAAATAGTAAAAGCCAACAATTACAATTTATTTACTTCATATTCTACTTTCCCATGATGAAAATTATAGACGAAATTAATTTATCCCAGTCACACAGAGGAATCCACGGGTAAAAGCTAATCTTGTATTATTCCTTTCAATAAATGGGTTCACCATTTGAAGAAAAGACATTGTATCCATTTTTAACTTGTGATTTGTAGTTTGCAAAAAGCCCTTTATATCTGATAATATGGGTCAGTATAAGTCAACATTTAGTTTATGAAACTTGAATGAATCCCTTTATTTTGCAAATAATCATATATTACAAATTATTTTTTAATATCATAGACTAGTAACATAGTGGGTAGGTATTCATTAAAAAATCATATATCATTTTTACTTTTTCTAATTTTTCAGGCACTGATATTGATATGAGTTCACCACTAAATTATGGCACACCAAGTTCCTTGAGCACTCCTCGATCACTCATGAGAGGTGTCATGACTCCAGCTCGGCAAAGAGCTGACCTAAGGGGTCCTAGTATCAGTCGAAATGTTCCAGCACCAACACCAACCAGACAGGTATGGTACCGAACCAATTATACAGGAGGCAGAAGAGATCGTTCGCTATGTTAGCTACCAATCCCATTACTAGCAATAAACTCTGCCAACATATACCATTAGTGCAAGCAGGGCTACCATTCCATTAGCATTCATTAGAAAAAACCTGTCTGCTCTAAAGGTATATGCTGGGGAGGCACCAGGGATTATAGGTAAGAATGAAAAAGCAGATAATCCACCATGATGAAAACCTCTGGAATTCGGCACGATGGTTTATTGCTAACAATGGTACTGGTAGTCCATATACTAAGAATCCCTTACTCCCATGCGCAGACAAGATTACCATGCCATTATCACCCATTTAAAAAAAACATACCTACATAATTTTACTTCATACAGAAATGCTATACTTAATCTTTCAGCCAGGTCTGCTTTTGTAAATAGTTCAATTTGGGACTTAATGTGCTTTAAGAACTATAAATTAGTTTATAGAAATAATATGGACATGTTATTATTAGTTGGATTTCCCTATTGGTGGAGCTCACCTAGTAATGTTGTTCTAAATTTTAAGTGATAAATAGGTGTACTCTGTGACTGTACAAATTTATTTTAATAATAAATACAGTCATTACTTATTTAAGACGAGAAACATTAAAAATATTATAAACCTACATGTACAGGAAGGGGTAACAGATGCAGCATCAGGGGAGCCTCAACTTGTTGTATGGGGCACTGATGTAGCAATTACTGAGTGTCGTGAAAAATTCATCAAGTTCATCCAGAGATTTGTGGAGCCCACTGCAGTTACAAATGAGCCTTTATATGAACAGAAATTAGAAGAGGTAAATCTTATCTATATTTATTTCTATAATAATCTGTCCTATGAGAATCAAGATATTGTTGAGTATTGATTTTTAAAAAAAGGAAAACATAAAAGTGTTGTAATATAGAGGACTGTATATTTCTGTATATTATTTATATGTAACTAATTAAATGTTTAATAATTTACTTTTAGGATGATTTGATACTAATTACATTGTTACTAATATTAGTAATTTCTTTATTTTAGATTCACACACTGGAAGAGCCCTTCCTAGATGTTGATTGTGAACATGTGAAAATCTTTGATACCAAGCTCCATCGTCAACTTGTGTCTTACCCACAAGAGGTAATTTGATAATAGAAAACATACTGTTGTTGTTATTAACTCCACAAGAAAAAAGAAAATATATTTTTTTCTTTCTAAGGTGGTACCAGCATTTGATGCAGCTGTAAATGAACTGTTCTTTGAAAAATACCCTGCGGCAGTATTGGAGCATCAGATACAAGTTCGACCTTACAACGCACCGCAGCGTCATATGAGAGATCTCAACCCAGAAGGTAGTATTATTACATAATCTAATAATATTGTTTATTACTCTTCATATCTTTAGGTGATGGTTACTACTTACCATCAGGTGTATTGTTAGCTTGTTTGCCATTTAAAATTGTATAAAAAATAAATTCTATGAAGTAAGTAATATAAAAACAGCAAATTAAAGAAAAAAAGTACTAGGTATTTTACTTGTTTTTGTTGTAAGTGAAGTTTTTTTGTACATATTCTGTTATTAACTAGTTACCAATAGACAAATGTTAGCAGCACATCAGTCGCAATATGTGTAGAAATACAGTTTATATGATTTGAAATATAATCTAAAATAATTTTAAATAATTTTTTTGTGGCAGATATTGACCAACTAGTAACAATTTCCGGAATGGTGATCCGTACGTCGAGCATAGTCCCGGAGATGCGCGAGGCGTACTTCAAGTGTGCGGTGTGTGGCGCGGGCGCAGTCGCGGAGCTGCAACGCGGTCGTGTGCCAGAGCCTGCTCACTGCTCACACTGCAACACTGCACATTGCTTCCAACTTATACACAATCGGTCACATTTCAGTGACAAACAACTGGTTAAGCTGCAAGAGTCACCTGGTAAGTACTTTTTTTGAACTAGCTCTGGAGATTTTAGGGTTGTTGAGGTGAGCAAGAAAGTCCCTTTTCAGACTGTTATTATTTTTTTACATTACATATATGTACACACTGTTTTAAATTGAGATTAAGTTTAATTTTGTGTATCAATGAAGTTTGAATATTGTGCTATGTTAGATGTCAACATTTTTAGAGAACCTTTAGGGACTACTCACACTTATTCAGCTCCATTCGCGTTTTGTTAAACGATTTTGGTCACACTTTTACAGCTCTGCTTCTATCAGCCGCGTACGGCGTCGTAAGAATGAGAAAAGCCGTCATAACGTGCTATTTCCGTTGAAACGTTTGTCTATTGCGTACGGTGTTGAATATGCTGACATTTCGTAAAAATAAAATAATTATAATTACTATAAAATACGTCTGCACTCTTTAATTCAAGCATACATAATGATTACGCAATAATAAATCATGTTAATGCAGAAACAATACAGGTCGCATCTTGCCGACAAGGAGTCGCGAAACATCGCTGTAAAGAGCTGTTTCGTCGCGTTCAACGCTCTCTATAGCAATCGCATGATAAATACACATTTATCCTCATTTTATACCGAGTTGCCGCGAATGCAGAATAGACGCGAAAAGTTGAATGGATGCGTACACGTCTCCATACAAAATCGTTGTTTTCTATGAACAGAAGCTGAATAGAGCTGAATAAGTGTAAGTAGAACCTCAGAGGTCACACATAGACAATATTATGACTCTTTATTGCAATATAGAAAGTTGAATGTCTAAAATCAAACTTTTCAATTAAATTATTAACTTATCAAAATCTTAATCAACAACTTTAAATTCAGTTCACTTATGCGAATTTTTTTTCTTTTTATATATTTATTTGTCGAGTGAGTGGAGCAAGCGCCGAGCTACGTCCTCCGCGACTAAAAATTATATTTGTACAGTGAACACTCTATATAAGCAATCTCTTTATAAGCAATATTCTTTATATTTTATTTACTCTACTCAGCTTAGTTAGTAAAAGAAATAAGTAAAAATATTTTCCAGACGTACATAAGTATTTTTATACTCCTTTTTTCTCTATAAGTAACTCTTTCCAATAAGATTTTTTTTTATTGAATTTGGTTCAAATGAGTTGCTTATATATAGAGCGTTCGCTGTATTTGCTTAGAGAGTACACTCTCTACAGGAATTACATAGAGGGATTTTTTTATGGGTGAAAATGGCATGGTAATCCCACCTGCGCTATCGGTTTACACTGGTGGGGTACCAGTGAGAGGTGATAGGTGACGATGAAAAGGCAGGTCAGTTAGCCCAATGTGACGAATTCAATGATAAATTAGTCACGATAGTTTCTCTACCTCCCCATTACTAACAATCCCTAACCTCCTTAACATGAGAAAGGGATTGTTAGCAATGGAGTTTGACAACCCCATTGCTGGCAATATGCCCTATTAGGTCGACCTCCACGTGGTTCCTCCTGGAAATCATCGTGAACAATTCTTGTTGAATACGTCATGATGGGCTGACTTGCTTCATCCTCACCTATCATCCTTCACTGTGCCCCGCTGGCGTATACCGATAGCGCGGGCGGGTTACCATTTCATTATCATCCATTAAAAAAAATTTAATGTAGTGTGTGTGTGTGTGTGTGTGCGCGCAGACGACATGCCGGCGGGGCGCACGCCGGCCACGGTGAGCGTGCTGAGCCACGGCGCGCTGGTGGAGGCGGCGGGCGCGGGCGAGCGCGTGTGCGTGACGGGCGTGTTCCGCGCCGCGCCCGCCGCGCTGCACCCGCGCCGCGCCACGCTGCGCGCGCTGCACCGCACGCATCTCGACGCGCTGCACTACCGCCGCGCCGCGCCCCACCGCCTGCACCACTACGACGACGGGTGAGCGCCCCGCCTACACACGCCTTAACCTTTTTTTTTATCGAGGGGAAAATCTTCAGAAAGAGACCCACCGCCAGCGGGATGACGGTGGGTACTGTGGGATTTTTATCCACTAAGAACCACCTCGGTATTTTCCTCTCAACGCCGTGTGCCGATGACTGGGGCTCGCGATTTGCAGTCGTCCCAATCACCGGCCTTACCTACACTTGGCTCAGCGACCTACGTTCCAGTAATACTCTCCGGGGGAAAAGAGATTGTTAGTAATAGCTCTATTACTAGCAATATACCCTGTTAGGTTGACCTCCACCTGAAATCTATCGTGGTTAATTCTAGTTGAATTCGTCAGTAGGCTAACTGACCTGCTTTTATCCTCATCAGTCATCTGTCACTGGTCCCCCGCCAGTGGATACCTATAGCGCAGACGGGGGTCACCATACAATACGCGAATTTACAGGGTACAGAGAAATAACACCTGAGCCTTTAGGAATGGCAATGCATAGGAGTATCATGGGCGAAACAGTATACTCTGTTATATCCATGGTACTGCTCATGTCTATAGGCGACAGTTACCACTTTCCATTAGGTGGTCTGTCAGCTTGTTTGCCATTCTAAGTTGTATAAAAAAAACTTATAGCATAGCTAAAAATTAATATACAGTGACAATTTTACCAGTCTCATAAATTATAAATAAAACTATATAATACACATCATAAATGCTTATGACAAAATATTTACTTAAATATTTCTTAAACATAATTATAAATAAAAAACTAATTTGAAGCGTGAGAAGTTAAGTATCTTTTTGTTTTTAGTAAGGAGCATCGCTTCCCCCAAGAACGCATAGAACTCTTCAAAGCTCTAGCGGCGCAGCCGGATTGTTATGAGCGACTCGCACGCGCTATTGCCCCTTCTATTTACGAGAACCTCGATATCAAGAAAGGTGTATTGCTGCAACTGCTTGGCGGGACCAAGAAGAACTTCAATGCGGCAGGCAGAACACATTTCAGGTAAACTATAGTGTTTAAATTCAAAAGAAATATGTTCTATGTCTAAACTCCCAGATAGGGTACACATTTATCAACTGTTGCTGTTATTAACACTCGACATGTCTCTAAGACTGATGATCTACAGTTATGGGAATGTGTTGTGTTCTCACCTTTTATGTTTAGCTCGTAAAGGACTTCACGTGACATTATTAATTTACTAATAAATCTATAACTTACTTCAATATATTCATTATTCTGCTATCCCTTTGTTTGTGGCCAATGAACATGTTCTCGTTTGTACTTTTCATTCCATTATCTTTTCTAGTTGTCTTTATGGGTTTGCAACGTTTCTTATTCACATGTTCAGAATAGTATAATTATTATAATTTTGAATAGAATATGTAAGTACTTTGTAATAACGATTTTTCTTACATGATGACAGGTCAGAGATCAATATATTGCTGTGCGGTGATCCAGGCACGAGTAAGTCCCAGCTATTGCGCTGGGTGCATTCATTGGTTCCCCGCGCCCAATACACCTCCGGCCGCGGCTCCTCCGCGGTCGGTCTCACCGCTTACGTCACCAAGGATCCCGATACACGGCAGCTCGTGTTGCAAACGTTAGTACAATACACACACACGCACGCACGCACGCACGCACGAACGTACGCGCGCACGTGCACACGCACACGCGCACTCGCGCACTCGCACACACGCACTTACGAATGCACGTACGCACCGTATTATTTACACATCTACATTATCAGTTTCCATTACATTTTATAGTTTTCATTAGATTTACATTTGACAAAATAAAAAAATTTAGGATTTAAAAAAATTTTATTACAGAGGTGCCTTGGTACTGGCTGATAATGGAATATGCTGCATCGATGAATTTGACAAGATGAATGACTCGACTCGCAGTGTTTTGCACGAAGTTAGTATTCTTTTAACATATGTGATAATTATAATAAAAAGTTATTGTTTTTTCAGTCTTCACCTACTACATCACCAGGGGGATCAAACAGATGGTAAACGAATTTATCGACAGATAAGTTGTCGTATCTACCTGCGTGAATTAGATTGAAATAACAAAATCTAACAATTTTTTTGTGATTTAGAATTGCCAACAAGCAACAATAAACAACATATTTAAAGATTAGCATAATACCTATAATGCTGTTCGTGTCTATAGGCGACGGTGCCACTGTCCATCAGGTGGGCTATAAGCTAGTTACCATTCTAAGTTGCATAAATATAAAAAGTATTTACAATCCTTGTAAATGATTTTATTTTAAGAAAAAATATTATTACTATTAATTTTAAACTTTCACGTCTCTTACGTATAGTTAACATATTAAAGATCGGCAATGAAAATGAGGTATATATAGGTACTGTTTACTTGTAATTCTGTCGCGTTAATTTCTCGATCGTGTTTAAATTTCATTCTTTCCCTACCAATTTAAATATCTCTTTATGTTTATTAATACAGGTGATGGAGCAACAAACATTATCCATTGCTAAAGCCGGCATCATCTGTCAATTGAACGCGCGCACCTCTATACTAGCTGCTGCCAACCCCGCTGAATCTCAATGGAACAAAAATAAAACTATAGTCGAGAATGTCCAGTTACCACATACACTTATGTCCAGGTGAAAATCTTATTATAGTTTTATCTCGTAGGACCTGTAAACCAGGGGTTAGTAAGTTAAGGCATGCTCGTACCCTATACATATGATTATCTTGATGAGTAGATAATAATATAAAGTAAATGACATTTAAAATGGCCACAGCCACAAGGAGCCAAATTCATAAAGCTTGTTTAATAAACATTACAAAAGATTTGTTGTAATTTGTAATACTATGTACAAATTCCCTTTTTAATAGTAATGGTGGAGTATTACATTTAAAATTCTTAAAAATATTCTAGATTTGACCTCATATTCTTGATACTGGATCCCCAAGACGAGGTGTTCGACAGACGTTTGGCGTCGCATCTTGTGTCACTATACTTCCAAGATCCGGCTGATTCACAGGACGACCAAGACGTTGTGGTAAGGTCTCATGCTCTAAAAGTAAAAAAATATATGCAGTTAATACTTTACTACTACTAATACTTTTTGTCCGTTACTTTGTAAGCATGGATTTCAATAGTAGAAAATTAATGAAATAGATCATTTCTAGATAGAGCATTAAAATAAAACATACACCACTTTTTAAGTTAGAGCTAAAGGAACACAACTCTGAAAACTGCATTAAATTTAATGCAGTATTTTTTGGGTGTTGCTGGAATAAACATAAATGGACAAAATTTGCAAATTCTTTCGGCTTCTATTGCTAATCTCATATCAATTTTTCTTAAATACCTCTCATGTACAGATATTGTCTATTACAATTTTATTATATTATTATAGTAAGATAAATGCAAATAATCTTATTTTCTTGTTATTAAATTCCGAATATGACATATGAATACATAAATCCAAAGATTTTATTTAACTTAAATTAATTAATATTAACTTTTTTTCTGGAAAATTCCTTATTAGACCCTTCTTTTAAAGAGCGAGTACAATCTGATCTCTATCTAGCAAGAAAAATAAGAATGAACGACAGTACTATATAATATTCATATATGTTGTTATAGGACATGGCACTGATGCGAGATTACATTGCGTTTGCAAAAGAGCACGTACAACCGACGCTCAGTGAAGCAGCGCAGCAAAGGTTGATAGACGCGTATGTCGACATGAGGTAATTAATAAATAAATATTATAATGAACTAGTAAGAATGAGTTAACAAGTATTTTTTTTTTTAAAGTAACAACTATGTATTTTTCTAAGTCCTTTGTGAGGTAGGCAAAGAGATAGCACTCCAAATTACAAGAAATAAATAAATAATAAGAGACAATGTGAGCAAGAGATCTTTTATTGTATTAGTTATTATGTATGATAGTTATTAAAAGATGTACATTATCAATATTGAAGAAGTGGGGGGAAAGGGATTGTTAGTAATGGAGACTGAGAATCCCATTGCTAGCAATATACCCAACCAGGTCGACCTCCTCGCGGTTCCCCTGGAAACTATCATGGTTAATTCCTGATGAATTCATTGTGATGGGCTAACTGGCCTGTTTTCATTCTCATCTATCACCCTTCACTGGTGCTCCGCCAGCGTATCCCGTTAGCGCAGGCGGGGCTACCATACCATTTTCACCCATAAAAAAAAAATATTGAAGAAGTTATGTAATTTATTATTTATTATACCGCAGACGCGTAGGCAGTGGCCGTGGACAGATATCTGCATACCCTCGTCAGCTGGAGTCCCTCATCCGACTGGCGGAAGCTCACGCCAGAGTGCGACTTTCCCCTGTAGTGGAACTATCAGATGTAGATGAAGCAGCCAGGTCAGTTTACAAGTATTAATTAAGCTAATGTTTCAATTAATCTATTAAGTTTTAAAATACTTTTACAATCACACCAAAAACCCAAGTAATCATATACAGTATAGTTACAGGGAATTTTTCTATAATTATCCATATGAGTTCTCTGTTGAGGTTTTCTGGAAACAGATTTTTCTAAAAGGACTTAACGAGTTTCTTAGGATTGGCAAAACAATTTCCCTAGATTGCATATCTGCAAAAGTTTCTGTGCCTTACTGACATCTGAGTAGGGCATAGAAACTTTAGGCTCAAAATGGTTCAACAAAAATAGCTCTACAATAAACCATTTACAACATAGATTGCATCGAGAAGCTTTGAAGCAGTCAGCCACGGACCCAGCGTCTGGTCGTATCGATGTCGGCATCCTCACCACGGGGTTAGGAGCGGCCGCGCGGCGGCGTCGTGCTGACTTGGTAGCCGCACTCAAAGAACACATTCAGCCATATTCCAAGCCACACACGATCACGCATTCCAAATTACTACAAGAAATTAACTCCACTGCGCAAGTTGTAAGTACAATATTACTATTGCAATTTGTTTGTTTCACTTCCGTTTGAATGGTCTGATTTTCCAGACAAATGACAAGCGAATCAATTAATGGAAATGTCTTTGATAGGCGAGTCTATGAGATAGAATGAGAAAGCAACATACAATGTCTTATTCTAACTCATGGCGTTGCTATAACGATTTCATCGATGAATTTGTTTGTCTATAAGAGCTGGTATGATATTTACTATTGATGTGAATTTTAAACTGTTTATTGTCTGTCAAATCTGATACAAATAAAATAATCCTTGGGCAATTAACTTTTGTAATAGAAAGAGATAATATTATTGAATTGCATTTTATAACGCGCTTGCCCCTATCCCAATACGCGACTTACACTTGATACTAATTATATTTTGAGATTTTGTCTACTTTTTTGCGTAAACTTGTTTAGTTTTATACTATTAATAGGTTTCGCTTTGGCATACCTGTTGGGACTACTTGTATAAATTGTAAAATCTTTATTATTTTTGCTCGCAACTAGTAATACGCCGTATTGGATATATATAAACTTTTGTACTGTTGTTTCTAGCGAAACATGCACTTTTTTTTTAATGGATGATAATGGAATAGTAACCCAAACCGCGCTATCGGTATACACCGGCGGGGCACCAGTGAAGAATGATAGGTGAGGATGAAATAGGTCAATTAGCCCATCGTGACGAATTCAACAAGAATTGTTCACGATGGTTTCCAGGGGGAACCACGTGGAGGTCGACCTAATAAAGTATATTGCTAGCAATGGGGCTGTCAAACTTCATTGCTAACAATCGTCAAACTCTATTGCTAACAATCCTTTTCTCCCCAGCGAAACATGCACTAATTGAATATATAATTTCGTTTATCAGACGGTGTCGCGTGAGCAACTGGACGAGGCACTAAGAGATCTACAGGATGAGGGGAAGGTCGTGATCGTCAGCCACACACACCTTAGACTTTGTTAACAATTTCCATAATTATTTTACTGAGATAGGTACTCGTAGAATAAGCGAACGTGAAGTGAGATATTCATAATTGTATTTCTAAGTTTTTAATAAAAAATAAGAATGAAAATGCATATTTTATTCTGAAATCCTTTTTCTAGAATATTATACGGGTAGAACAGAACAGCAAATCTTAGTTATATATAGACACATATATAAGTTAGACCTGAATTGTTTTTAATATTTACAGAAAGTACTATTTAAAAAAAGATGCATCATATACGAGGTTTGTCCGGAAAGTACGTATAAAAGTTTTTTAAAAATTTTATTTTACAATTATTCAGGTAAATCAATTTTATCCCCTTCAAAGTACTCCCCCTGTGACATAATGCACTTGTGCCAACGCCGTTTCCACTGTGAGAAGGCTCCTTGAAAGTCCTCTGGTTGTAGGTTTCTCAGCTGCCCCGTCGTAGCTTTTTTTATCTCATTTATGTCCCCCAAATGCCGCCCCCGAAGTACCAATTTGGTTTTTAGGAACAAGAAGAAGTCACACGGGGCCAAATCCGGCGAATAGGGGGGGTGTTCGGTCACCGTAATGGAATTTTTACTCAAAAACTCACGGACAACAAGAGAGGTGTGGGCAGGGGCATTGTCGTGGTGAAGAATCCAACGCCCCTCTCGCGCCAATTCTGGACGAACTCGTGCCACACGAGCTTTGAGGCGTCTGAGCACATCGACGTAGAATTTTCCATCAACTGTCTGGCCTGGAGGGACGAATTCTTGATGGACAATCCCCCGAACATCGAAAAAAACAATCAACATTGTCTTGACATTTGAGCGGGATTTTCCTTCACAGCATCATCCCCATAAACTGTTCTGAGATCGGCAAAAATTTCACGGCCATTCTTGCCGAGTTTCGAGAGAAACTTGATTACGACGCGCTGCTCTTCAACGGAAGCGGGCTCCATGCCGACGGGGTTTCGTTAAGAGGTAACTTCACAGATGGCGTGACAAGCCAGTTCGCACCGCACGGCGGTCAGACCAGAACTGAAGCATTGTTAGGGACATAAGGAAGGGGTCCTGCGCTTACCTGGCCTCCCCACTCCTCTTTCTCGCATTCCAGAACACTTTTATACGAACTTTCCGGACAGACCTCGTACTGGAACTGACTTATGAATAAAAAATATCTTTGTCTATCGATCGATTAAAAATTTCCACTTATATTCCTATTGTAAATGATATTGGGGGAACTTGGTATTGCAGGTGCTCATAGGTTACGGAACCACTTACCATCAGGTGGGCCGTATGCTTATTTATCACTTCAGTGGTATAAAAAAAACTAATTCTAAATTTAAACTATGAAAAAAAAAACGAAGTCTTTAATTACGTTTATTTACATTACCTTCCATTTATGTATAAAAAGCCAGTGGCCACATAACAACACGACAACGAAACAATTTGCCTTATTTTAATCTTAACTATTAGTATTATGTCAAAGAACACATTTGTGCTTTTGGTAAAATTATATCACCTTTGTGCCACATATTAAATGGCATGTATACATTCAGGATTTCCAAAGGCGAATTTAATAATGAAAGATTATTCTTATAATAATAAGGATTTTAGTTAATATTTTTACGCGATAAGAAGGTAGGATATTATGGAATAGAAAAGGTGTGGAATGGTTAACATACGACACGGCTATAATTCTAGTACATATCTGGTGCACCTTATAAATCAGTATGTACTTAGAATTGCAGGTATCTTAGAATTTTTTATTTAGTAGGACATATAAACATTCAATATTAGTTAAATAGTAATGACAGTTCACAATGTTTACAAAGTTCAATTTCACTAGCATATTTTCTAATTGTGTACGTCATGGAACATTTAATTCGATTTTTAGGTATGCATACAGTATTTGCTATAATCTCTTCGTGGGAATTCAAAACGTACACTTAAAGCAATTTGAAAAAGCGAATTTTCCAATTGCCAGTTTTTTTTTTATGAATATTACATAATATCTTTACTAATTCAAAACCGATTATAATATTTTACTTTGCAATCGATATTAATTTTGTCACAAAAAAATATCTGTTATTTGCGAATCAAAATGGCTTGTTAAAGTATAGAACAGTTTTGTAAAGTTTTCATCTCTTCAAAATGTTTTTTTTTTAGTTTTTATAAAACTTTAACAAATCATTAAAATCAACATTAATGGTATTTTTCATTAAAAATAAAAACAATGAAGTTAAAAAAATATAACATAATTTATAAACAATAATATGCAGTCTAATACCTTAAATGTTTATATATGTACTATAAGTAGGTATATGTTAGTATTTTTGGGCATCAGGTACGGCATTATTATATAATAAAAAAAAATTAGGATTATAAAATACAATAAACAGTATTTAGGGATTGATGAATTAACAAAAAGAAACCCAAAGGGTTTCTTTATTTTTTAATAATCACTTAAAAACAATTTAAATTAGGTAAACAATGTAAACAATAAATAATTTTCGTGATCACGTATTTGATCACGTACGTAGTTAACAACCTGATATTACAATTTGAGTGTCGTTTACAGTAGATTCATTATGGTAGCGGTAGTCTCTCGGAGAGAGCGAATTAGAATTCATAATTTACGGTAGAACGCATGTCGTTCTACCGTAAATTATGAATTCAACGATGTTATATAACAATATACTTCAGACACTCGATTTCTTTAACTCTAATTAATATTATTAAATATAATTCGAAACTTCATTTTGCTTTGTAGATTAATATATTCCCTGAAGCAATTGTATTTGCGACCACGTACCTTTTATAAGAGAGTTTTTGGTATATCTACATAACATGAAAAATAAAACAGTCCGATATATCAATCTACAGCTAAATTTAGGAATTTGGAATTTTAAATAAAGCTTCCATGTAAAGTAGGCATCTCCAAGAAAAGATTTTTTTTTTAAATAGTCGATGACACAGATATAGATGTAAATAAACGTAGTAACTGTAACTACATTTCATACCCATTTTTATTACTAATAAGTGAAAATTGCCTACTTGGACAAAAGATAAATTTTAAGTCGTACTTCCTACATTGAAATTATTGTCCAAAAAATTATGATTGACAAAATTAAGATCTACAGTTATAATTAACTTACTATAAATAAATAACATCTTCATAGTAGGTAGAAATAATGGCACTCTTGTTCAGAGATTGAGATACTCGCGCCAACTATTTTAGTCTATGGCCTGCGGAATATTATGAGATCCGTGCAGATGAAGTCGCCAGTATTTTTTTATAGTTTAAATTATGTGCCGTCTACTTAAATTCAGTACGCGAGAGAAAATGACATCCGCGGAAAAATTTGCTTTTACTTCTAATTTAAAATTATAATTAAAAAAATGACACTATATGATTTATTAATTTTTGTGATAATAATCATATTAAATAGGATGTCAATTGTAGGTACTTGTGTACATAAATACTTATAAACTTTAGAATATACCAATTTGGTCGATATTACAAATGCATAAGATTTCTGCCTAACTAGTATCAAAGCGTATTGTGATTGTTTACAAAACATTATTAATAAAGCACAAGTCAATTTATAGTAACAACAATTAAATACTATCTAAGGGCTACATCGCTATCAAGAATTCGCAATGTCTGTGTTTTGTTCCACGTTGGTTACCGGTACCAGTTCTGTATTCGACGCCGGTTTTCTCTCGTCTGCTCGTGAACACGCTTCCAGTACGTATTTGTTGAATAATTCCGGTTTATCTAAATACACATGGTGACCAGCGCCATTGATTACCTGTATAAAAACGGTAAAAATAATGTTGAAAATAGTACCTAAAATATTAGTAATTATAGAAGCGTAGTAGTAAGTGATTAGAAGTAATGTAGTAACAGTAGTGCAGTAACAGTAGTGCAGTAAAAGTATTAAATCTATCGAAAGATATGTTATCACTACCGTATGCATGAGGTAGAATGAGACAGCAACGTGAGGTGTCTTGTTCTTTCTTATGTGCAAAGTAATAACATCTGTCTCCCTATGTTTGCAATTAGTATAGAAACAAATATCGAATGTATATACATATGTAAATGCCCCAAACCACAAAACACTATCAAAGTAGACTATAAGATTTGATTGTCATAAATAGACCGTTGAACGATGCGAACGTTGAATTGCAAAAAAAAAAAAAATATCAAACTACAGATATCACACAAGTGACTTGCAAAACTTGCGGTTTTTCGAGTCAACTTGTAATTATTATAATTTGGTTGTCATCCGGTTTTAATACGATACAAACTTTTGTTCCACTATAGCAGTATATTACATATATTAAAGTAAAAAATGTAGTGGTATTCGCTGGTAGTAGTAAAGAGTAGTTCGTTTGTTTGTGGCTCGACCAATCATCATGAAATTTGATATATAAATACTATTTGGGCAGAAGAAGGGCATAGGTTAAAATGTACCCCAGTCAATTAATATATTTATTTAATTATTACATCCACTGGCTGAGCCTAACAGTCTTCCAATACGCTCACCCAGTATTATTCTGGTCTAGGGGACAAGGTTGCGGGTTAAAGCTTGTAATTTATATAATTCTTTATTCAAATATTACCTGGACATAAGTTTTACTGGTCTGCCGATGCTCGCAGAGCAGCTGGCCAGTAGTGTTGTCGACCCACGACCTTGAGCCGTACAGCACAGTGATGGGAAGCTCGGGGTCTAGTTTGTCCAGTCGTTTCACCATTGGATTCTTGGCCCAACCAAACCCGTGCATTAACGTGTGGAAGGCGCTTTCACCACTGCAAAATAATTAGTATTAAACTATATTCTAGTTATATCTCCCCACTTCAGCCGCGTTGATATTTAAACGGCACTAGATCAGTTGGACGTTTGACTACGATTCTATCCCAAAATATATAGAATCTATATTGTATTATTTTTTACAATCCGCGTTGTACGCGACCATCAAGACGGGTAAGAGGGTGAACTCCGAGTCGATGGTGAGCTGTACGATGGTAGAAAGAGAAACATACTTTTACATTTATAATATTACATAGAATTAGTAATAAAATATACTACTATATCATTGCTCGAATTCGTGGCGTGCTGCTAGCTATTTCGACCACACATTTATTAATAGAGTATTTATATTGATCTTTTCCACTTCGATTATTACAGTATTCAACATAAGAGTTGTAAAGTTGTAAACCGTTGAAAGTGTGATTTATTAATCACGCTGTATTGTCTTGAAATAGATTCGTGACCTTATAAATATTTGAATACTATGCTTATGACGATATGAGGGCTCCATAAATGTACTGTAGAGTCTATGAAGTAATTGCCAATTAAAGTTTTTTCTAATATGAGACGACTGTGGCGGTGTAGTGGTTTACCATATCGCCATATTTTCCAATAATCATGAGTTCGATTCCCGTTCAATTCAAACATTTGTATTTATGAATATGTTTATATTGGTTTAAGTATTTTCTATATTTCTGTTGCTATAAAGTTGCTTAGTTTGGAACTAGACGGCTTTGTGTAATGTCCAATGGTCATTATTTTTAAATGTGATAGTCTGTAAATATGTTAGTTACACATATATAGTTAATTTACATATTTATAATTTTGCACTCAGGTGGACCATATTATTTTAAAATACGACATTATTTATCTATTAAGGTATATTAAAAAATATTCCATAAAAGAATTCATTTGACAAACGAATGATTATGCACTCAGATTCCAACACAAGGTTCATATTACTATTTAAAACAATTTTATCATCAACGCATTATTTTTCAGTCCGATTCAAAGACATGCAAATGAATTCTTTTGTCTTCGAGCAGTCTTGATAAATACCTGGGCGTTTGCGAGTTGCACTGATAGATGTACTCGGGTATGACTGTTTCGGCGTCCTTTATGTACTTGACGTACTTCCTGCTGATGTCTGGACGGGTCTTGCTGACCAGCCACTTGCCCGCCGGGCCTGCGGCGCGGACCGCCCACAGTGGGTTGAACGGTTGCACAGCAGTGGCTACCGCACGTACCCAAAAAGGCACTTGGTATTTCTCGTATACATTGGACGGCTTCTCTGTGAAGCCCCAGGGGTCGGCTAGGATTAGGTGCCGCACTCTGAGTGAAATAAGATATATTTTTTGTTATTATTGATGCTATTTCAAAGAACCGACAACCGATGGGGAAGAAAGGTTCTTGAGTGACGACCCCCTATGGGCAAACGCAGTGTAGGTCGACTTCCCTGCCACTACTGGAGTGACGACCTCAAATGACAATGGACAGACAATGCTAAGATGACGATGATGATCTACGAGATATATATAAAAACAATTGGCATATTTTAGGCAACTTTTGCATTTCGAAGTAGAATTTTATTAAGAATAACACACTATTTAAAATTTTAACGATTTACACATGTAGCCGGTACAAGATAAAAATGGTAGAGAGCGAAAAGTGTTGCATTTACACAGACAAACAAATTACTATTTTCAGTATTGCCATTAAGATAAATATATAAAATTCTAAATAAAAATGTTGTTTGTTACTTAATGTTTGATAAATACCCAAACAGCCACTATTTATTGAGTGTAGCGACTGCGAGGTTCTTGCAAGTTAGAATGGTAAACAAGCCCACTGCTCACCAGATGGAAAGCGGCAACTATCACTTATAGACATAAACAGGATCACGGACGTCGCCGAATATACCCCAACACCAATCACACGCATCATGCATTGCCACTCCTGACTATGGTATTAAGGCTTCATATTCTGTAATTACACTGCCATATCCCTCTTTCTTAGTGTCGTAAGAAGCAATTAAGGAACCTTAATTGCTTCTTACGACGAATCGAGGGATAGACAGTAGCGTCCCCATTAAAACATCATCAAAAGCCAAACTGCGGTTACCAATCGGCCCGCCAAGCGTGGCAACTACTGGCAGAATTCCCCAATGGCAAATAGCTATAAGGAATGGACCCATTCCTTATAAAAGACCCTGGAGGAGGCCTAGCAGTGGACAGATAAAAGCTGATAAGATGATGATCCTACCCTTAAAATCGAAACAGACATGCAAGCAAACACGAGTGTTAGAAGACGTCTTGTAACATAATGTTAAATGGTTACCTTTCTGGGTACTTCATGGCGTACGCGGTCGCTATATACCCGCCGAGACTGTGCCCCAGCAGGATGATCTCCCCGAGGTGCACCTCTCGTCTCCACTCCTCCACCGACTCCACCCATTGAGTCTCGGCTTTTTCCGCGTCATCCGAGAACTTTGGGCGGGAACTACGGCCGAAGCCTATAATATATTCATAATAACAATAATAATCAATCTGAATTCACACAACAGTATTTATAAAAAATAGTAGATAAATGTGCGTGTTTAAAAATGTCTTGTGAAAACACTATGGCTATTAGTTTCCATTGCTTTCATTGTTGTATGATATGTATAGCTAAAACAGATTACTCGTGTATGAATCACATCCTCAAGACTAAAAAATATATATAATTTTTACCTTAATTCTATCGGGGAATGTTGCGGTTTCATATTTAGTAATATATAAAATAAAACTCACCCAAAACGTCAATGGCATACACAGGCCTTGTAGCGGCCAAGGCGTCAAGGTTTGGACACCAGAGGGCGAGGCCGGCGCCCATTCCGTGCAGCAGCACGAGCGGAGTCTTTGAAGACTCATCGTTGAGCGATATCGTCCATATTTTATCGCTCTGTCCCACCACCGATCCGATATCCACGTAGAATCGTTTATACACAGTCTTTAAACCTACAAAAGAACAACTGGTAAATTTTCAAATCCAAATGAAGGTCATAATTATTATACCATAATTATTATTACATCATCATTAACTGCCATTATACATAATGGACAGCTAGTCCACTGCGGAACATAGGCCTCGGCCTATTGGGAGATTGGCCAGTAGTCGCCACACTAGGCAGGCGGGTTTGCAACCATAGTTAGACATTGCTAATGTTTTAAGAGAGACGCTGCTGCCCATTCCTCGACCATTATGTTTCCTTAGTCGCCTCTTACAACACTTACAGGAAAGGAAGTGGTGGCCCATTCTATACCGAGACCACACGGCAATCATTATCTATATAACTAATTATAACAATAAACTTTTTATGAGACAAAAATGTAATGATAACCCCGCCAATAATACCGAGACATGCTGGCGTTTGTAAATAATGATAGACGAAGATGGAATAAGATTAGTTGGCTTATCATGACGAATTCGCCATGATAATTTACACTGAAGTATGTAGGTAAGAAAGACTATTTCTCAAATAACAATTCTCTCCCTTTCCCTTCCCATTCTTCATTAATATCTCAGAGTCTGTAAGTTGAAGTGGCAGTGAACCAATTACATCTTTCAAGTGAGGGACTGTCTCTGTTCATTAGGGTAGGATATTTATCACGCCCCCAAGTAGATAGTTACAGGGTTTTATTATAAAAACATTACATATTTGTAAATTATTCATATCTACTATCGCAAACAGAAAGAAAGGAATTTATTCAACGAATCGTGCAATTCACACGGTAACAGAATAAACAGTTAAACATTTGAGTGATAATAATATAGGTAAAATAATAATAAATATTATCAAAGCTAATTACATTTAAGTTCAGAACTCTTGCCAACTCATTCTTGACCCATTTTTATTAGGGACTACGGTGTCGTTCGAAATTCGAGAGAGTACAAGGTTGTTCATGAACACCTATATAAAAATTGGCATAAAATTTTCAAAATAAGTATAGTAGCTGCGCAATTTATATTTATTATTGTGAAACAGAATATTGATTTAACTACTAATATGTGTCTTCTATAAAAAATGTTGTATTACTGTTTTTCTAGCGTACCTCTGCAAATCTGCTAGTCATGATTACATTTGTCATTGTAATGACAAATGTAATCACTGATCAAAGTGGCCTTGAATGTTTTCTATGACGCTTACAATGGCAAACAAGGTGACAGCCCACTTGATGGAAAATGGCAACCGTCGTCTGTAGACTAGGCATGGGTAATATTTGCTGGTGGTGTGGATGATTGCGAAAGCGTACCCAGACCACCGGTGCGAAAGCGCCAAGAGGAATACTAATAATAGGTTTTTAGTGGGTAAGAATCCCACAGTACCTATCGCCATCCCGCTGGTGGTGGGTCTCTTTCTGAAGATTTTCCCCTCGTTACAAAAAAAAAAAAAAAAATGCATGGGTAATATAGATACCGATCCAATACCTGTTGGATATTTATTTTCGAATGTATTAAAAGTCTATTTGTTACCCATCATTATTTCTTGAATAACAGATTTTTAACATATTCGTTATTGGAACAGTATATAGACATCGTAACTAAAATATATAGATATTGTTATATAGTATAACGTTGCTATTTCCGAGGATTAACCTTTCTTTGCATGATTTTTTATTGGTGAAATAAATCAAGGTGATATAATTCATGTTCAAAATTAAAGGAAAAATAATGAAAAAAATAAATTTGACAGCTATGTTTTTTTTTTTGCAATGGACATTAAAAAGTTATCCAGACACGATCAACTTAAAGTGAACTCAGTCTTTTATATAATTTTTAGGCATTCAATGTTATGATGGAAATTTCCACCAGTATGCAAAGAAGGGTTAAGATGTATATGCTTACGAACCCTGTAATTTCGTTGCCATTTATCATATTTAAAATCGAAACATAGTTATGCTTGTACAGCGGTAGAAAAAGAGGGGGATAGAGGACATGCACATGACTTTTGTCTCTTTCTGATATTTAATTGAACATTGTATAATTACAAAAAGTTTCAATTTTAGATATGACTGATATTGAAAGATCTCCGGGATCGACGACTAGTGAACGATGACGTCTTTAAATAATTATCTGTAATCTTATCAATCGAGCACATTATATGTATATGTTAAATGTAACAGAGCTACTGCGTAATCCAACAAAACATGGTGAGTCAGACTCATAATACAAGTACAAAATGTACGTACTATTGCAAACCCAGTAATAGAATTTAGTGGAAGTAACGAAAATTTCGAGAAATTAAAGCGATAGCCCTATAAAAGACGTGGTCGTGATATTTATTAAATAGCTTTCTCAACAAACGAATTTTTCAAATCCGAGTGGTAGTACTAGAAATTAGCGCGTTCAAACAAACAAACAAACAACAATGTTTTCGCTTTATTATAAGTTTTATTAATAATATACTCGTAGATGAGAGTTGGAGAGAGTTGTGTAGGTATGTATCACTACTGCTCAAAAGTATTTGGCAAACTATTTTTTGTTTTAAAGTTACAAACAATACATTTTCGGGAAATCATCTATTAGGTTTTTTTGTTTGTTTAACACCGCAAAATATACAGTACAATCGTAAACAGCTTATTGTTATTTGGTAACTCCTAGTCACAAAACTATAATAGTGTTATTGTCCGAATTTCTTGGAACTTAATCTTTGAAGTGGAAATTTTGATTTGATTTAATTTTTGAGAAATAAACACAAGAATAGAATAACTAATACAATTCTTTTTTTTTTTATTTTAATGCAAATTTTGCAAATCTAAACGATACTTAGTAAGGAAAATGTTTATAGTGATAAACTGAAAAACCTTTCAATGCCACAAAAGTGGTAATCAAGCATATGATAAGAGGTTATCGTAGCCTATGAACTCCACGTAATTTTACACGTAAATTTTTACGTGTATAAGCGACAATTTCCAAACCAAAAAAAATTAGACTATGCAGATATCTATATTTCTTTACTGTTTGAATACAATAGAGTTTCAATTGATACCTAGATTATTTTAATAAATTACAATTAATATACAAACTACAGATATGAACTCATGCAATAATTAGATAGGTACAACATTGTAGGTAATAAATACATTTATCAAATAAATGTCTCTTCCGTAAAGTAAACACGTTTTAAACGATAAAGTTATTTATAGAATTTGGTTCATTCGTTTAGGTATTTCGGAAACGTATGTACAACAAGTACGCCAATATTGGAAAGTTCCATATCCTAAACAAGGCTCGATGAAGCCAGGAAGCTCATTTAACTGATTACGCGAAAAAATTACCGTTTCGCAACAGTGTGAAACAGGGTGAAATCTAATCTAGCAGTGAAACTGAATTTATACGTCCTTATCGTGACAAAACATCGATGAATGGCCAAACATCTACAATACATTAGTCTGAAAAATACTTGAATTTTTAAATGTGGAATCATCGTGTGCAAATTTTGCTTGACAACAAGCAGGAACAAAGACAAACGAAGGCTTCAATTGTCACAGCGATAATATGGGACTGACACGGACAATGGGGTAACAATAAGGTGGGAGCAAGAAAAATACCACAGGCCCCCGGCCTGAACCCCTATACTGCATAATGGCGTTGTAAATGTGTAAAGTAGCCATAAAAAAATTCAGACGAACTGAGAGCCTTTTATTGTGCATTGTGTAAAATGAAAGAAAGAAAGAATATTGTTTTTAAATTATATAGACATTAGAAATAAGTATAAATTTTATTTTATACGGCTTAGGAATTTTCAAGGCTTAAGTGGATCAGCCTATAATTTCAGTCAACGATAAAATGAGATACAGCGTCACATACGTAGGTATATAGGAAATTATCAATAAAGGACCCCTCGTAAATTACTATCAGGTAAAGCGGTTATTCAAAAGTAACTCAATGTCGCGTCGCAAGGGTAATAAGAACGATAAAACGATGACAAAGATAATTGTTTGTAATACTTTTCATATTTATTTTTCCCCCTAAATCATTTCTACCATAACAGAACTAGTATGGGATTTAAATAAAAAAATAAACACAATAATCGGTTCAGTATTGTAAAAATATCCTTAGATAATCTAGTATTGTTTTTTTTTTTGTATATATTGTTAACTTATGTAATGTGTATCATTATTCGAAGGGAACAATAAAGACTTTCATTCAATCATACATACATACAAAATAATGTAATAAAATCAAATCGAATGGATAGTTTTTTCGAATATTTGTTTAAGTTTAGATTATCTTATCTTAGTTGTGCAAACTATTAGAAATTGCTAGATTACTGTTATACAATTTATTTGCTAATTATCGTGAAGTAAAACTGTGATTATTTAATAAGTCTTTCAAGGTCAACATAACATAGATAGTCACGTTTTTGTATAAATACAATACAATTAGATATGTATCTAAATATAAACTTAATTAGAACGTTAACCAAAAATTACTTCATTCATTAAAGAATTGTTTCTCGGATAAAATGCAACAAACACATCCACGCTACAAATAGATTACTCATTATAAATATAAATCAATTAGACGTTACAAATAACAAAAAAAAAAGATTAATTTAAAATTAATTACAAACGATCAGTTATAAAACCTAATTACATAATAATAATAAAAATTGTCTCTCGTCATCATTATTACATTTGCCATGGTCCCGGTATAGAATAGGCTATCCCTTGCTCTCCTGTGGGTGTCGTAAGAGGCGACTAAAGGGACTTAATGTTAGAGGGACGGGCGGCGGCATATTTCTTAAAACATCTCTAAAAGTCTAACTGCAGTTGCGAACCCACCTGCCAATTAAAAAAAATCCCTTTATGTTCAGTAATGGACGGTTAACGGCTAAAATGATGAATGACTATCATGATTACAACCTTTTCGTCGTCCACTGTTTTTTTTTTTCGTTATGGAATGATAATGGAATGGTAACCCCGCCTGCGCTAATGGTATACATTGGCGGGACACCAGTGAGGGATGATAGGTGAGAATGAAGAGGCAGGTCAGCTAGCCCATTGCAATTCATAAACTTGGAATCCAGCACGATGGTTTTCAGGGGGGGCCACGTGAAGGTATACCTGACTGAGTACATTGCTAGCAATGCCCCCCCGCACCCCGTCGTCCACTGTTGAACATAGATCTTCCTTATATTTGGCCACAAAGTATGATATTACACCACTTGCATCTGGCAATTCTGTTACTAATTTGGCATATTAACAGCTTAACCAAATGTCAAAAAATTTGCAATAAACGTAGACTATCTTTAAAACGTAATCTCAGTCGTGTGGACAAAGTCGCAGGTAAAACTAGTACTATACAAATTAAAAACAACTTACATGATAATATTTTCTTTTCTATGTTCCTTAACATTTCATCTGACTGCCGAGTCCAGCTGAACCATCCCCCAGTCCAGCTAAAAACAATTATAATATTAATGATGTATATCTGACAATCTGACAATAACACAGACGTCTACCATAAAACAAGCACACACAGTAAACAGGGATTTCAACATAATAACAAAAATATAAGAGTAAGTTCACACTAAATGTGACTATCACTAAATGTGACTATCACCAATTGTGAGCAAATGGTACACAGTTTATCAATTTTCTAAACAACTTTTCATTCAAATTGAACTTTCAATTGTCAACTATTATAATGAAAACTTCACAATTAAAATGAGGCACAGACAGCTGATCATGTTTGGTGTTCGAGTCCTAAAATGCAAATATCATGATATATGTAAATATAAATCACCACATTTAGTCATATTCTATATCTAAATGCAAATTAAAACTAATAAGAGGGATGTATATTAACAGATTGAATATTACTAATATTTTACATCCATATATTTACATTTATTAATTAAATTATGTATTGAAGACTATATTTTTCATAAAAGATACTTATTATTATATATTACTATCTGTTTCCTATGGCTTTGTCATTATGAATCAGTATATAAAGTATCATATATATTAAGTTAGGATATAGAATACCCATATATCAAATTTCATTCTAATCCTTTTTTTTTAATACTACTTAGAATGGCAAACAAATGACAGCCCACCTGATGGAAAGTGGTAACAGTCGCCTACATGAGCCATTTGACTTTTTAAGTGTGAATAAGTAACACACATCCAAACATTTTATAAAATGAGTATGTAATAAGATTATACTAATATTGTACAAATAAGTCTTGTCTTCTCATCATGGATTAATCTCTATAAATTTAGTATAACTATTAAGTTATACTAAGCTTATAGAGATGAAATTTACAGTAATAATAGTAGTAGATGTCATGTATACAAAAGATGAGAACTAGAAAAAATATTGAAAATTTGCTCCTAAAAAAGGTGAAAAGTGGATTAAATTTTTGTATATTCTTTTTTCCTTCCATCATTGTATTATTATCTTTGTTACTACTCCAGTTGTCAGTCAATAAAAAAAAAGAGTAATAATCTATAGCCTTAAATTTTTTTTTTATTGGAACAGCATAAGAATTATTTATAAACAACATAAATGAAATTTTGAAGATTAAACAATAACAGCTATATTTCGTCATACCAATTTGTCCACCAAAGAGGAAATATTGCAGTTAATAGCCAGATAAAACAGATAATACACTGTGCAAAGATCAACAGTCAAAATTGTAAAAATTTATTGATAACAAGAGTATTAGCATTGATGATATTAAATCTGTTTTATACTACATTTTAAAGTCCTAAATATTGAATGTAAAAATAATAAAGATATTGTAGGAAAATGTTTCAATAAACTGCAGAGTTTATAGTGGTGTGTTAAATTTTTTTTTTTTCAAACAATAATATAAGCTATGATAAAGCATGATAATAAATTATTACACTAAGGACATAAAAATAAATATGGACAATTTTTTAAGCCTTCATTTAGAGCTTGTTTTTACACATAAATGCAATGTAATAAAATAAATAAAAATGAAAAACAAGCATTGACAGACATTAACTGGAATAAGTCTTACTTCCACATAAAGGAAAATATACTTCCAATCCATGTCCTGCTTGCTATACTGAAATATGGAATACAACATAACATTAATGATTATGTGAGAATGATAGTAAAGTTCACACAACAACCATAATTTAGAGACAACATTCAAATATAAATTTCATTTCACTATTGCAAAAGAAAAAATATATATTTATTATTTGAATTAATAGCAATTGCAATCAGTAATAGTATTTTCTAAATCACAGTAAAATCTGGTAAAAAGCAAACCAAAAAAGAAAAAATAAATCATACAACTGAGTTAAAACTAAAAAATCATATAACTATATTTTTAATAATATATAGTTTGTTATCTGTAAAATATCATATTTAATGTCAAGTGACTACCCACTTAAGTAATCAATACATGTATTGAATGAATGACAACAGTCTGGGCTATATTCCTCCAGCTTGGTATGTAAGTTTAACTTAACAAAAAAACACACAAACACATTTGGCTATCAAAATATAAACTCATGCAAAAATAACAACAAAAGGGGCACAGCAAAACTATGACTTGCTTGTTGTATCCCATTGGTGTTTGCACTAATATCTGAAAGAATATACCAGCTTCCAATATAATATCAATATAGTAAAAAATACAGTTTCTTTTCATAAGGATTGCACAATCAACTAGTTTAGTAAATAGTGGCAAATAATTATGTGGTATGATTTAACATTATTAGATATTTTTAAATAATTATTTGGGAAAAAGGAAAAGCATTTGACAGTGCTTATTGCAAGCTACAATCACTGAGTACAATCAATGTTTGATGACATAAAAAAATAGTATAACTAATATTATATATATATATTATTAAAATAACTATATATATATATATATATATATATATATATATATATATATATATATATATATATATATATATATATATATATATTGAAGTAAAGAAGTATGAAATTACCTCAATGTGCTGATAATGATATGACAAATGAGTGGCAAAAGATATTTAGTCCAAATGTAACATAGTATAAAGAATCTTGACATAACAGACAATTTGCTGAGAACCTACAATGAAAATTTAAATTAAATGATGATGTTGATAATAATATACTCTAGGCGGAAGCAGAGCAGGACATGAAGATAAAGCAATTGCGCAATAATATGAAAAAATACTAAACAAAAAATATTTGTCTACCTGGATTCAGTAGTGTGTAGATTTAATTCACTACCCATTTGGCCACAAGTACGTATTTCAATAAAAACATATCACGATAACGAGTAGCGAAAAAAAACCGGGTGTAACTAAAATTTCAATTCTACTCGTGCTATTTATACCAATGCGTAAAAATATCTGAAAAATATGAGAACAATGAAAATGAATGAATAAAAAAATCGGCAAATCGAATTACCTGCCAGTGTTGCCGTTCTATAGAATTAAAAGTCCCTAGATAATCTCAATAAATCTGCTAGTTAAGAGGAAAAATAACATGAAAATTTGCTAAATATCGTTAGGTTTTACCTAGTATGTAATATCACTATCGCATAAATCTGATATGATTCTATAGTTGTTTGATACTAACAAACACCTTTTCTCTCCTAAATTGAAAAAATACATAATAATATTAATAATTTAACAAAATCGTTGTACAATAAAAAACAAAATAAATAGAACATAGTTATTGAAGAAACTCAGAGACAAAACAAGACAGTAACCCTTAATCTTTACACAAATAAAACCAAATACTTTAGAAAAATGCTTAGGATAATTAACACCATGTAGGTACCTTAATTTCACAAATCAAGTAAGATTTAATCCTACTGCTCAAGTATAGCAGCGGAAGTTAGACAGTAATCCTTACATATTTTTTACACATTTAAATAAAATCAAACACATAAGCAAAAAAAAAAATAGGATAATTAGGCATCTAAATTTCACAATTAAGCAATATGTCATCCAGCTGTTCGAGTATGTCAGCGGGAGTTGAAGCCTCTCTTGGTCTCATGGTCTTCAGTAACATTTGGTCTTTTTTGCCAACTTCGTTAACAACTTCGTCTGCGAGATCATAAGTTTAGCAATTCCTATTTTTAATCCTGCGTTGGTTCCTGAGGAAAAGAACAAAGTCACAATTAATTAATTTATAAATATTCTTATACTCAATTTGGCTTTAAAAACCAGTTGTATGTTTGGAAGTAAAAACTTTATGTTTCATGGTAAAGTGTTTTCTGATGCGCGAGTTACCGCAAATTGTAATAAATGGCAGATATGTAATATCAGTATGAGATATGAAATACTCTGTTTAAAAATCATATAAACGCTATGTCGGGATCTAGTCATAACAGTTCTAATGCCAATCAAATTCTTTAAATCCATATTTTCCAACAGCATCAGAACTCTACTGCGATTGCAAAGCGAAAAACGCAGATACTACTCACGACGATACCAAGATACGTCTAATGAAAAACTATATTTATTATCACCTATATCACTTCAGTTCCTGTTCGAAATGAGTCGAGTTTTTGAAGTGTTTTTTGCATACATCAGTTAAGTGGTCCACGCGGCAAATCGAGGTAAGTTTAGCAATATATAGAGCTAAAGAACATCCAGCTGTTGAACTATGTTTGCAAATTTTCGTGTCGCTGGAGAAAAGTCAGTTGTTTATTTTGTGTTATTAATTCGCATTGTTTTTTATTAAGCAATATATTTAAAATGTGCTTCTTTGTTTCCAAATGCATCTTGAGATCGTTGAGTTGAGAAGAGAATTTCAGAGTGGCAATAACTGTAGATGCTTTATTAGATTTTTTTGGGTTTTAGCCAATGTTCATATTCTTCACAGTACTTGCACTTCCATATTTGCAATAAAAAATCGAGTCTATTTTACTTAAGTAATTAGATTTTCATTAATAATTAACAGAAAAAATTAGTATATTTGTCTCACTCACGAGATCGTAAACATGAAGGATTAACGAATAAACTTTGAATGACTGCACAGGTTTTTTTTTCCGCTATACAGTCGTGAAATACCCTAGATCTAGCGACTAAGTCTTTAAAACGGCAACACAGTCTGCTGCTAACTTTGACAGTTGGCTTTTGACATTGACAGTCGTTGACGATTGATAATTTTATAGTTATTATCCCAGACAATTTATCATATTGAAGACAAAGCAGCGTGGTCTCCGAACTTAGCCTGTTCCACAACAAAAAAAAATTTACTAAACAAAAAATTAAAGTTATTATCTATAATATTTAAGAGTCCGTAAGAGATTTAAATCATTACTTACCTTTATTCTGATATTGAGTTCAATTTTCATTTTTTGCAAACAAGCAATGAATAAAAGAACATTGGGAAAAAAAAACCCTTTTTTTTCTTATGTCTATTATGCTTCCTATTTGTTACAAATGATATTTTAGGACAGTAAATATTTTTATCTTACATATGAAAACTAAGAGTTGTAGTGCGAAAGTGCAAAGTTTAAAGGTTTACATTCTTTATTAATTTTAGCGATAGTTTTTTTTCTATGGTTTACCTATATTTAATCCTCAATATAAGATTAATATTTAAGAGTCCTTGTTCACCTAGTTAAATTTACGAAAGTGAAAATCCAAGCTAATTTTTCTAATAAAAGATAAGAGTAAATAGGAATGAGAGAGGGCTTCTCTCGTTTCTATACTCGGCTTGACATGCTGCCACTTGTCTAGATTATACATATATAGTTTGTAAGAGCCTGTAGTTGTTTCGTTTGGTAACTATGACAACGATTTTAATTATTACAAACTAGAAAATAAACAATTGCAGTTGAATCGAAACACTAAGAAACAACTATGCAAGTGTCTACTGTTCAGCCAGTATTTAAGTTGGAATTAAATCATAAAGTTACACCCAACGTTGTTACAATAGCCAAGTATGATGGCACGCACCCCTGCCTTACCGCATCAGCCGGATATGATAAAGTATGAACAAATTACATTTATTTAAGAAGGATGCTGTTGCCCATTTTTCGTCTTAATTAAATTTCTTTAATCGCCTTTTATGACATCCACGGGAAAGGAAGGGGTGGCTCATTCTATGCTAGGAGCACACGGCAGAACCTAAAGCCTAATTGCGGTTATCAAATTGTCTTCCAAGGAAGGGAACTTTCAACTACTGGTAAAATCCTCCCAATAGCAAAAATCAGAAAGAAATGGTCTCCAGTTCTCGGCTGCAACTCTATTTTTGACCAAGGTAGGAGTTACGGAAGCGGCAAATGTGGCGACCTCAAATCAGTGGTTGCAGGTGACTCGGGATTGTTCCTTATGGCAGTCTATGGGGGAGGCCTATGTTCGACAATGGATAGATAATATTTAACATGATGAACAATCAGTACTTTAACTTTTACGTTACGCTACGTCATTTGCACATTTTCTTATAGGTATAAAACATAAATTTACCATAATAAAAATATTTCTATATATGGCCGTAATAAGGGGGGGGGGGGGAGGTGGCGGTAGGCATTGAGGGGAAATGCCCTACCTTAAAATAAAGGCCCCAAGAAAATTTGACAGATTCGCTTTTTCAAAGTCGCTTAATTATGGCTTTTACCCTAGCAAAAAGTTGTTTTCCCCTACGTTAAACTTGGATTTAGCTACGGCCCTGTTTCTATACCTATGTTAACTCACGGTAGGCACAAAAGTTATTATCATTCAAACCCATTACAAATGAGAAATTAATGGATATGTGAAGTCGAAATCACTGACTTAAGGGACGGCTATTACATATAAATCATATATAGTGAAATTTTTAGCAGCACCGTTAATTATTGTTGATATTTTTATTAGATTATAATACATCATCCTCATGGGAGCGTTGTAAGTGGAAGGGCACAGCGCTCTCAAGCTCACGGGGAAGTTTCCGAATTGAATCTAAGTCAGGCCATTATCGCAATAGCATCGGGGCCAATAAAACCAGACTGTGGCAGAGATATGTTACTTATCGGGTCTCCTACACAGATTTTAGGTAACTGAATAAGTAAGATACTTATTTTATGAAACAGTGTAATCGGCAAAACAATAACAAATTCTTACCAAACTACGTATCCTAACAATAACTTTTTTTTCATTATCGGTAATATCAAGTGCTTAACTTTATAGTTAAATATAAACAGTTTTGTTTGTTTATATGTATTGCTTTACTTTAACCCTTAAAATACCTGAAGTTTCAAATTTTATACAGAGGTTATAAATCGCATTGGGCGCCTACAATCGATTTTAATATTTGGCTGTTTACACGTTACCAAATGTTTATTTATTTTCAAAATAAATATATAAAAATATCGTTTTGATTTTTTTTACTATTTTTCCCCATTAGTAAACATAGTAAAAGTATAAGTGTACCCATATATTTTTTAATTTGATTTAAAACATCAGGCTTTTAAGGGTTAAAGGAAGATATGTTTAATGGCAGTGAAATTACTGGGTGCTATAAATCAAGATATTATTATTATTATGTCATATTATAATGCCTCAAGATAATAGTGACAATATTGTACCGCTTTACTATCAGAAGAGCCGTAAACTTGTCTGTCAACACTGTATAAAAATAAGCTTTTAATAACACAAATAACATAATACTATACCAGATAGTACTAATACTTATAGTATAGAGTATAAATCGTCATAGTCGTAGAATACTGACGGATCTTTATATGTAATATTTGTCAGATCCGTCAGTATTCTACGACTATGACGAAATTGTACTCTCGACTGATATTAACGATTGTAGAGATTTTGTTTTTGTATTGTGCAAAAGAGTAAATACCGGTGGTGAGTGAAGCCCCTAGATGTGTAATACTAACTAGCTTTTACCCGCGATTTCGTCCTCGTTATCAGGATATGTTCATTGACCGAGATAAAAAGTAACGTAATTCCTTCTCTATCCTATATACTATATATATCTCGTAGTGATTGGTAAAGTCCTAAAGCCACCAAAAAGTAACAAATAAACTAACATTCTCATTTATAATACTATTAAACATTAATTACCTAAATGTATTCATTGCAGCGTACGATGTACACGACAACATTGATCTCTTCTTCAAAGAAGCACAAGACGGTGTGAACGTTATAGTCACAGGAAACTTTGGCAAATATAATGAGGTGGTGGTAATTGTTGGTGGTAATAGTTCCGTACAAGGTCTCGACTGGCAGGGAAATGAATTATTTTGGAATGTCGTCGGTGGAAAAGTGTATGATATTATCACTTTTGATTTTGATAAAGATGGAGAAAATGAGGTGTGTATCTAGTGTATCTATGTAAATGCAAATATAAATACACAAAATTCTTTTCTATTGAAAAGAATTTTGAGCCAACTATCGTTTGAATTTCAGAAGCCAGAGCACTAGACACTACTTGCACCTTATGGCGGTTGAAACTTAAGCAGAGCAAAGGGTACCAGGGTTTTTTATAACACTTAGAATGGCAAACAAACCGGCGGCCCACCTAATGGATAGTGGTAACCGTCGATCTATAGATGTGAACATTACAGAATATATTAGATATGTTATGCTCTCGTGCATTGCCATTCCTGAGAACTTAGATGTTATGTCTCTGTACCGTGTAATTTCACTGCCATATCCTTTCAAACCGAAACACGCAAGTTTCATGGCAGAAATATGAATAGGACAGTTCCCATGCAGACGACATTTATACAAACTTTTTCTTAGGTTTAAACTGAAGCATGTAAGTAAGACCAATACGTGATAATAAATCTGAATTTACAGTTAAATTTAATATCTTCTAGTAAAAATTTTTGTAAGTAATTGTGTTCGTAACACTATGAAGGTAACAACACCGGACTGGGATGTAAATCCCAGTAGGTACAGCGTTTTCTCTTTCTTTATCTTTACTTAATTTATATAGGTTTTTGAAATAATATCAAAAGTTCATGCTTTCAGCTCCTCATTGGCTGTGACGATTCATTCATCAGGGTATTAAAAAATAATCAGTTCATTGTGGAGATTGCAGAAACAGGACCGGTTGTATGCTTGGCTACAGTCTCGGACGTTAGGTTTGCATATGGTTTGGCGAATGGAACAATTGGTATTTATGAAGAAGGAATACGTTTGTGGAGGGTTAAAGTAAGCACCGATATAGCATTAAAATTTACACACAAGAAAATACGATGTTATTTTTATAGGTAGTGTAATATTGCCAGCGAAGTTTTCAAGTGTATATTATTTATTATCTCAAAATATTTTAGTCAAAACAAAATGCACTCTCACTGCGTTGGTCGGGCGATTCGCTCGCGTGCTGTTGGGGCAACGGGCGTATTGACTGGCGTGAGGGCAACACAGGGAAAGTACTTCGACGTGTTCAAATGAGAATGAATGCCGCTGCGATGCTTCTCGCTGATTACCGCTCTGTTGGTGCTCCGGACTTGGTCTGCGTGTCTGATAGGGGCGAAGGTAATTAATAATAAAATGTACATAGTTGTTAGTAAGATGAAATATGTAAGTAAAGTTGCGCATCTATATCCTGTGTCACCAAAAATAATAATGGGGTGAAGTGGAATGTTAGCCCCGTCTGCGCTAACGGTAGCTATTATGCTGGCAGTGTACCACCGAGGAATGATAAATGAAGATGAACTACTTATTTTACGATGATGGTTTACATATTGAAATCGACCTAACAGAGTATATTGGGGGAGGGGGGGGGGGATTGTTAGTAATGCGGACCATCATTGCTATTGTTAGCAATATACCCTGTCAGGTCGACCTCTAGGTGGTCTCCCCTGGAAACCATACTGCTGAATTTCAGGTGTATTTATCACGATGCACTAACTTGTCTTTTCGTTCTCACCTATTATTTTTTACTGGTGCCCCGCCAGCGTATACCGTTAGCGCAGGCGGGGTTAACATTTCACTATCATCCATTAAAAAAAACAGGATATATTACTAATAATAAGAGAGAAAATTAACCTTCCAATCCCTTGCATGGGATAGGGTCCACCGTAATGACATCATTTAATGTATATGCCATATCTTTATTATGCAGTAGGTACATTTAGTTTCGGCCAAATTTAATTAAATTTCGTTTAGTAGTGGTGATATCTGATAAATTCTAAAATGCACACTGCCTTTATTTGTGGTCCCTTAACACAGGTTATTATATTAACCTATTTAGAAGCCCATTTCTAAAACCATAATTACTGTACCCTTATAAAACTATAATATTAATATTAGTTAAGAAATTACAGTTATGTTTTTTACGAATAAATCCCATTTCATTTAATATGTTATATAAAAAAATAAAAAAACATTACCGAAAATTATTTTATCAGTTTTGGGCTATCCTCCGTACCAAGAAAATACTGGTTTTAACGCAACATCAAAGAAGATGCCAACAGAGGAAGATAGGATGGCTATTACTGAGTTATTTAATAAGAAACAGGCTTTAATGGTGGAACTTCAGCATTATGAAGCCAATGCAGCGAGTGGGTCCACCAGTCTGGAGAGTGCTGATCGTCCCATGACGGCGATGCCAACTAACACGCGTTTACAGGTCGCCGTCAGTGCTGTGCCTGATGAGGTAAACAAATTCATGTATCTAATAAAGGACTAGTACCCCTGGCAGGTCGACCTCTACGTAGCCACCCTTGGAAACCATCGAACTGAATTTTAGACGTATTCATTACATAGGCTAACTAATCTGTCTTTTCATCCTCAACTATCATCTCGTCATAGTCGTAGAATACTGACGGATCTGACAAATATTACATATATATATTTGTCAGTATACTACGACTATGACGATCTCTCACTGGTGTCTCGTCAGCGTATACCGTTAGCGTAGGCTGGGTTACCATTACATTATCATCCTTTAAAAATAAATAAAGGACTGGAACTTTCGATTTAGTATTTTTTTATTGGGGAATAAAAACAATGATTTGAATAAATACAATTCTGTGGGTACGAGGCTATTGGTATTTTTGCTATCAAAACTGGAAATATCAAACTAGTTATTTTTATTAAGATTTTAGATAAAATTTCACATCATTAATAACATTAGAATGATGTTGTAAAATTTCTGTTAAATTAGGGAGGTCTAGCTTTAATCGGCAGTCGTAGCTATATGTAGTAATTACCGATATAGCACAGAATATTTACAAATTTAGAAATATTGCTTTCCATCGAATAAGCAGTGTATCAAATTCAGAATTCTATTATGCCACATGGGTTGAATTGTACAAGATGGGGGCGTTATTTTATATCGAATGACTTACATTCGAACACTAACCTTCAATAAATCATGCTATTATATTGAAAAACCCTTATGTTTTTAATACATCAGGGAAACTTGGACTTAGCAATAACTACGAACAACGAGACTATAGTCCGTGCGGCGTTGATTCTGGCGGAGGGTATTTTTGAAACAGGGGAAACGTTGGCGCGGCACCCCTTACCTGCGCAGCTACGGTCCATTTTGCATGTACCCTTAAAACCGCCAAGAGATGTACCCGTCGATGTACACATAAAGGTAAAATCTTATTAATATTACCTATTTAAAATTGTAACTAGACTAGACGATATCTGTACATAAGAATTATTAAGAAAAAATTATATAAGGGCTCTTAATACAACCAATAAACGCCGAAGCATTTTCTTTTATTTTCTATGTCTGTCTATATGTTTGTTCCAACATCATGCAAAAGCTACTGGACCAAATTGGATATGATTTTCATAGTTGTGTCCCTGAAGGGCTAACTTCAAAACTGGTATATATTTTATGTTGATACGCCATTTAGCAGTTGTTAGTAATAGTTTATTACTTCCGAAATCCAAGCGTACAAAAAAGCGCGCAAAAAGTAAAATGAAAATAAATACCATTGGATGATTGGATATATTAAACATTTAGTCTCTAAGTAGTTTGTACTGTGGATGGTAGGTATATGCGACTAGGGAGATAAAAATTTTGCACCTTAATAGGCTGTTAAGGGAACTACTTCATATATGTAAAAATATAATTTTGTGTAGCTCATGTCCATGTGTGTTTAAGACATCTATTAGATGTAATATATAAATTAACAAATAGTGCAAATCTTTCAATATAAATTTATATATTTTATGACTTTTAGGCATTAGTTGGTTATGGAGACAGTGAACAGTTTCATATATTTGAACTTACAAAACAACTACCAAGATTTTCTATGTACACCTTAGCTCCTCCATCATTAGCAAACACGAAACATGGCAGCCATGTCACATTCCATATCACCGAAAGAGTCCAGAGGATCTGTATTTGGTTAAATCAGAACTTCCTTCTAGAACAAGAAATAGAGTTGGAAACAGAGGAGACAAAGGAACTTAATATAAGTTTTATATGCTTGAGAGATAGGACTCGGTTGGACATGGATTTCAAAGCAGATGGCCAAGTCAAGTTTAGCACAACTGATATAAGGCTTGCTGGTGATCTTATACAGAGTTTGGCTATATTTTTAAACCTATCTGACTTACAGGTACTATTTGTAATACATTATTGATTTTATCATAAAGTAAAAATAAGACAAGCAAACACCAATGTCTTACTTGCATATTAGTTCAATATACTTGACTAATATTCTCCAATAGGGGGAAAGGGATTGTTAGTAATGGAGACTGAGAATCCCATTGCTAGCAATATACCCAACCAGGTCGGCCTCCTCGCGGTTCCCCCTGGAAACTATCATGGTTAATTCCTGATGAATTCATCATGATGGGCTAACTGGCCTGTTTTCATTCTCATCTATCACCCTTCACTGGTGCTCCGCCAGCGTATCCCGTTAGCGTTGGCGGGGTTACCATACCATTTTCACCCACCAAAAAAAAAAAAAAAAAATATTCTCCAATAAAATACATGTAACTCAATCTGGTTAGTTTTACAGTTAAAATAATATGAAGTTTATGAAACTTTTAATAGTAGTGTTTTTGTTACTTGACATATTTAAAAAACTGTTAAGATAGTATTCATTTTTATTAATATAAAGTATTCAAAATAGACAAACTAGAAAAAAAAAATTTGTTGTTTGTAATAAAAATATGTCAAGTAAATGACCGATTATTGGTTGTTTCAAAATAAAACTAGCTATTTGTACTTAATGAATTATTAATCTTATATTTATTATACTGCTTACATTCTACAAGGTTTATTCATTGACCATAAAGTTCTACAAAACCAACACACTTCACAGGGTTAAAGAAAAACATGTTGTTGTGCGGAGGTTCACGTTGGCTGACCGCTTTTACTACCTCTTGGCCAATAACACCACCCACCACAGCGGCAGCCCCCGAGACTGTACCAAACACATCTGTCAATAAAGCATCACTGATAAATCCAACAGGGAGTGACAACTCCTTTACAAGTTCATCACGCATACGCAGTAATATTTCTGTATCAGTTCTCCTCTTAGCTGGATCTGGGTTGCGGTTATACTCATCTCTGAAGCGCAGTAGAATTTTCATAACAAAGTATGAGGGATCTCCACGGCGCAAACGTGACCGTAACTCTGGCTTCGTCCAATCTGCAGATAAAGCGTTTTGCAAGGGCACATAAATAGCTCGCCGTTTCACTGTGATGGTTACGGTTTCTCTAGCATTCTTTTCTGTATCGTCAGGCCCGCGTTTCACGGCTTTATGCTGAACTATTTCTTCCGAGTACTCATGATCGACGAGATCAGCAAACATATACCCATACATTCCCCATACATCGCCACAGAGGAATTTCTTGTTGCTATCACGGCAAACGTTGTTAATACGTTCTAATTGTTCTTGTTTTAATCCAGTTGCACAAACTATGTCAAATGCTGTAAAATATTCATCTGGTAATTCATCCACAGATTTAGTTTCTGATGTAACGTCTACCATTGGATTCAGGGCTCTTGCTCTCTGTAACGACGCCTCTGCTCTATTTTCACCGACTTTATCTGGAGGTGCTAAAAACTGAGAGTACAAGTCAATTTCCTTCAACTTTTCATTATCTAAAAGGCAAACGCTTTTGACTCCAGATAAAATTATGTTCTTAGCGGTTTCAGCACCAAGACCAGATAGACCAATTATTAATACTTTTGATGCACGTAATCTTTTTTGAGATTCTAGGCCCCATAGACGTATTTGGCGATCATATTGTTCAGCCTCAGCTTCAGACAACTCCATTTCATTATTTTCGACCATTTTCGAAGAATTTTAAGCAGTATTTAGTAAATATAATGATTATAAAATTTCCGTACAATAAAGCTTGATTTTGACAGTTCCCACGCCGCCGGCATATTACGCGACGCCATTTTGTTTAGAGTTGTCCATTCATAATTTCAATCATAATCGATTAAAAATTATCAATTTAATTTTTTATTCATAGACCACCATTTAAACAAAGTGCTCACAGTTATTGTCGTTAATTTATTAATTTTTATTTTTATTGTTATTTAGTAATCTCTCAAGTAACTACTGATTATTAATTTTTGGTTGGTTAAGGCACCGCATCCGGAAATCATTTACTTTTTTAATAATACGAGTGGGATTTTTTTAATGCTATTTATTTAAATTTAATTGCACAATTATATAAGTGTACATATGGAGGACTTAACACCTAATAGGTTTCTCTAATAGTCAACCATGAGGCAAGCAGAAAACTGAGTAGGCGGTAAATTTATTACTAAAATATCTATAAATATTGTTACTACATATTACATGCATACATCCTACATAAATATATATTTATTTATTTATTCTTTATTGACCGCATTACAAAAAAAATGTCTGATACAAAAGGCGGACTTAATACTATATAGCATTCTCTCCTAGTCAACCTTTGGCAAACAGAAATTTAATTAAGCGGTGAAAAAAATTGTTGCAAATAAATATATATACACGGTGGAAGAGATAGGTTCGCGAAAACGAAAATAGCTGATTCAGATGAATGATCTGAATCAGATGGCGGATTATTTCCCCACCGGAATTGCACCACAGAGCTGTTCCGCACGTCGCGGTAGGATTTTAATACGAATATTACATTGCTGTTTTTTGGTATTTCATAGTGTATGACTATAAAATATTATAATTTCTTTATATTACGACATAATATCATAGATTACATGATTTTGAATGAGAAAAATAGGGGGGAAAAATAAAATTTTCTGTATAGAATTTTCACTAGCTTTCGGTTCTGAATAATGGTCTGAATTTACTGTTTCAGTTTTTGCTAACCTGTCCCTTACTCCCTGTATATATAATACACACCATAATTCTAATGATGATAAATTAGAAGATAAAATAAGGAAAAAAAATATTGTAGATATTATATATTTGTTTTTTAGTCGGTTGCTCATTTTCCGGAGGCAGAAAAGAAACTACGGGCTGAAATGGATAATGTTTCAGAAATAGGAGAAATGAGATCTCGATTAGCTGCCGAAACTGCGGAGCGTGCTCAATTGATTACTGCGCTATTACCTGCTGCACAAGACGCAGCTTCGTATGATTTGTAAGTTTCATTACAAATGTTACCAGTAAGTTGTGTACATCGCTATATTCATAACTTATGTTAATGTATAATTTTTAGAAAGGAAATGTTGAATCGATATAAAGAAGTAATTATGTTGAATGAAGAACTTTTGATGGGGTGTCACATACGTAGAGCAACTCAAGAGCAGGCAGTTACTTCACTGAAAAATCTTCACACTGTTTTACAACAAGCAACTCGATTAAGAGGTAAGTTGATAAAATGCAATCCGTACTTAGTACTTATTTCATAAAAATAATTGGATATATATTTTTTTTTCAGTGGGAAAATACAGTAAAGCTGTAGTTTCAGCCAGCAGAAAAGCTGTAAGAGAAAATAATATTGAAGCTTTAATTAAAATTATTCAGGTAGGGGATTCCTAATTATAAGCTGATAAATGGACAACACAATATAATAAACATTATAATTTATTTTATTACATAATCAGTCATTATTAAATACTGTTAATAAATAAAATACAATATAAAATGTCGTCTTATTGTATAAGATCCTCTCAGGCAGTTCATACAAATAGGACAATGCCAATCTCAATTCAATTATTGGATATATTTCTATTATTAAAAAAAGATGTCAAGGTATTTTCAGTCTATTATTATTATCTACATTATTTCAGTCAAATCTGAACAATATATTGTATATTCTCATTTGGTATTTTATTTTCCTTTAACTACCACCACCACGTACGAGGTCCGGTCGGCCAAAAAAGCGTTGTCAGCAATGGTTAAAGACAAATCATTCAAAGAATAATTTCTAATCACTCCCCTGGCCGAGGTAGAGACGATGAACCCGCATTTACTGCAAACCATTTTCTCCTTAGACATCCTTCTGGGCTACCAGGACCTGTATCTTTGGACGACAGAAATTTGTTCCAAAGGTCGCACTGGTGTATAATTGGCTAAACAACAGGATTAAATTTAAATTCATGTTTGGCTTAGTTTTATGGCTTGGAGAAATATTTCAAAAACTTGTTTTATCCAAGGCACATCTTTCAAAATAATAGTTTATAATAATATAACTTTCAAACAGTGATCTGGCGAGTAGCGTAATGAACGTCATCAGCGCTAACATTTAAAAGTAATCTAGGTTCAGATGGTTTCGGTTCTAATAATAACAAGCGGATAGCAGCCAGCCGGGAACATATTGCTTGCGCCTGAGAAGGGGTTGGTGCGCGAATATTCGCAGCTGATTTGTACGGTCGTCCATCTAGTGCTACGATGGCTGCGGCGGTGTTCAGAGCCCGGGAGAGTGTGGTCTCGTCGGAGCCAGTTCTTTCAACCTGAAGTAAAATAAAAATATATCATCTTTTATTATCAATTCCAAATAATTTCTTAATTAGTAATCTAATTACATTAATAAAAAAATAAGAAGCGCAGTGAGTGAGTGGCCCGTGTAAAGTGGTTCATGTAATGTATAGAGGAATATATTGCATCTATTTATTATGGTCAACAGTTAATGAATGTCTGTCACCAGAGGGAGACTTTGTACAAAAAGTCGATTGCTTGGGTCCTCTGTCCCTTTCGTGTTTCAACTGTAAAGCAGTTGTGTTTGCATGGCTGTGTTTCGGTTTGAAGGTTGGGATATGGCATGAATTTACTGGGTACAGAGGAATAACACCTGAGTCCTTAGGAATGGCAACGCATGCGGGATATTATGTGCGAAACAGTACACTCTGTTATGTCCATGGTACTGCTCATGTCTATAGGCGACGGTTACCACTTTCTATCAGGAGGGCCGTCAGATTGTTTGCCATTCTAAGTAGTATAAAAAAAATCTTTGCATAGCCCTAGCGTAAATGATAGATTTTATGCAGAATGCAGGGGAAGGTGGCATAATCTGTGATTGAAGAATACTTATTACAATATATCTGGTTTATATAGAGTGACACTCCTTACCTCAGCTGCCACAGCTCTCAACATAAGTCTCTCAGCTGGTGAACAGTTTCGAATAGCCCTAACCGTGGCGCTGGATGCAGCTTCGCCTAATGCCTGCTGCACTTCCTTCAGGCCGGCGCCCTCGGGCCCCGCCAACTCTATAGCCCGCGAGCATAATGCGAGAGCACGACGAGCATCCCCTGACACCGCCGCTACTTTTCTATAATTGAAGATATCAAAGTTATGTTTTTTTATATCACTAGTGCACTTTTTTGTTTAATGGTAAAAAATTATCAATCGATTGATCCATAATCTATTTGTAACATTATCTAGATTATCTTTATACCTACCTTGCGATCAACTGGATAGCATCAGGAGTGACATTGGCACCAGCCAGCCTGGTGGCCACTATTCTCTGCAGCTGAGTGTGTGTGTATGGAGGGAACGTGAGGCGGGTGAGGCCAAGGCGCGAGGCTACGCGGGCAGCGAGTGCTCGCTCTGGCAGGTCCATGGTGTTGGCGACTGCGAGAACAGTCAGCAAGGCCGAGTTGTGGGCCGCCCATTCCATAATGCTGTATAGGACGTCTTGTCGCCGGGTGCAGAGGGCGTCTAACTATAATTTCCAAGAAATTATTATTTTTTGTGTCAGTAAGGATCACATTCTACACACGCGAGTATTCAGGTAATCTTTCTGAAGTTAATCAAGTGACGAGTAACAAATGTATTGGCGTTCTGTCACGGATAAATAATTAGCAGTCAAAGATCGACTTAATGTGCCAGTTAAGACTACTATAAAAAAATCCTTTTACGGAATTGGTAGAGAAAAATTAAATGGCAATCTGCTTAATGTTGTAAAAAAGTTGTATTTTTTAAACTGGATATCTTTCTCTAACAATGTAATTGAAAAATATGATATTTTTTTTTTATTTGTCAAGAAATAAAAAAAAATAACCAATAAGCTAAAGTGATAAGCAGTAATATCTTGATGGTATAAAAAACAAATCAGCACTATGGAACTTTTGGAAGTGGTAGTACTGTAAGTAAAGTTATTCACCTATTTGTACGAAACTATTTTTTTCCTTACCTCATCAACAAGTAGTACTGTAGGTGTTCTCCTGGGGCCAGGGTTTGTGAATCTTTTTTCTAGTAGTGAACAAGCCTGCTCCCATAAAACAGATTTACCTTAAATTAAAACCAACAATATATAAATAAAATGTAATGTTCCAATGTGGGTATATGTTTTGTATGATAGATGCGCTAGGGTCACAATATATTCTGTGATGGTATTATTGTCTCTTAATCATTTATTCAAAGAGCAATAAAATAAAAAAGAAAATAAAAAAGTATAAAATGTGTGGCTGCCAGTAGGTCAGCAACAGACATGTCTATTAATTTCTTCAGGTAGTGATTACCACTTTTAATAAGGTAGACTTAAAACTGAGTATTAGATAAACAAGTGGACAAAGTTACAGGTATATTATAAGTGTAATAATAAACAAAAAATATATAATTTTTTTATAATCTTACCAGTTAGTTGTTTATAGATCTGCACATAAGCTTGCCTTGGTTCAGTTATCCTCATTCCATTGACTTCTACAAGCTGGAAGTCTGGAAGGTCGACTTCATCCTTGAGGATCTTTAAAGCTGAACAGACTGTTGCAGTTTTTCCAGTTCCTGGTACTCCTGATATGTACATACTCCTGGGGAAATAATTTATTTTTTATTACCAATTACAATCTCTAGATGGAGACAAGACCTACACATATTTGCTAGTTTAAGATGGTATTTTCCATCACAATTTTTAATGTCCGCTAGATTGGAATTCTCTTTTGTGTAAATTCAAAAATTGATAAGAATGATTCGGCATTAATAGTATACAATTAGGCTAAATCATTATTTAATAATTGCTTACCCACTAGTACCGTCCAAAAGTTTATTTCGCACAAATGATAGTATTTCATCCATTTGGCTTTCTCTTCCAGGGAGATAAGTGTTGTCTTTGACAAATTCTGAAAATAAATTGTAATAGTTATAATTTTAATTATAATATTGAATTTTGTAAAAATAATGTTACTGATATCCTTGCTAATCCTTATAAAACCTTTAAAGACATAAAAGTGAGTTTATTGTTTGTTTGTTGCCCTATAGAATCTTAAGCCTTCTTTCCATGTTTTTTTTATTGTTGAAATAAATCAAGGTGATATAATTCATGTTCAAAATTAAAGAAAACGTGGTTAAAAAATAAATTTGACAGCTATGTTTTTTTTTCTGCAATGGACATTATAAAGGTATCCAAACACGATTAATTTAAAGTGAACTTGTTCTTTAATATAATTTTTGGGCATTCAATGTTATGATGGAAATTTTCACCATTATGCAAAGAAGGGTTAAAGGCTTAACCGGTCATTATGAAATTTGGTATATACATACTATATTAAATTAAACAGGATATAGGCTACTTTCTCTCTCAAAAGTCATCAGTCAGTAAACATATTCTGATCATGTGGACAAAGTCGCATGTAAAATGCAAAATTAATTTTTTACTCTTTTACATTAGATCTGCCCCAAGCAAATTGGCAGTCAAACATAAACTAAGTTGTTTATAGTTAAAATCCCTAGAATTACAATATGTTTTAGACGCTTTTCGTTTTATAAATTTAAATAAAAACAATAAGTTAATTTTTAATTACTATTATATATTACTATACTATATATATTATATATTACTATACTAATTGTTTATTTGCTCATGTTGGATTTACAATTTTATTTTAAGTTCTTCCTGTCTACAGTTGACTATACTAACGTAGATAGTGCTATATTGTGTTAAGTTCGTCATTTACACTATCTAGGTGTTTTAAAGTTTAAAAAATAAAAAAATAATTAATTAAAGCTAGTACTTTTACACAAACAAGTAATTATTTTTGGCAAAATATGAGAGAATGAACTATTTAGATCAAAATAAACAGACTTTTTTTTTTATACAACTTAAAATGGCAAACAAGCTGACGGCCCATCTGATGGAAAGTGGTAACCGTCGCCTATAGACATGAGCAGTACCATGGACATAACATACTGTTTCGCCTATGATACTCCCCATGCGTTGCCATTCCTGAGGACTCAGGTGTTATTCCTCTGTAACCAGTAAATTCACGCCATATCCCAACCTTCAAACCAAAACACAGCCATGCAATCACGAATGGGATAGAGGTATCCAAGCAATCGACTTTTGTACAAAGTCTCCCTCTGGTATACTTATGAATACAAATATTTACGTTATATATGTATTTTTAGTGGGATTGGTTATATTGGAAAGTGAGGTAGTGTTAAACATGTTACACTACCAGGTCTATCTATATTTTAAAGATATATTTACATTCATCAACATATTAAGAAAATAAAGATCTCAGAAATAGTTTTGTGTATAAAAAATATTCTATACCATTAATGTTATCCACTGAATGTGTTCTAGAATGTAGAGAAGGTGTAAGATTCATTGTTTTTCTGACACTCCTTTTTGGAGTTTGCATAGGTGTAGCTTTTGAAGTTCTTGGTGTTTTTGGCGCTTTTGGTGTTCTTGGTGTTTTTAGAATTCTCTGCATAGGTTTAAAGTCATTGTCATCCTCGTTTATTGTACTAACTGACTTCCTTGGTGTACGTTTAATAGGAGAAACATCATGTTCCATATAATTTATAGGATTTTTTATTACTCTGCCTGATCGAGTAGAATAAGTCTCTTTTTCCTCATCTTTAAATACCAATATTTTTTTTGGAGTGACATCAATAGTTTTAGATATTAACTGTTTTCTCTTAGGAGTGCTTGGTACATTTTGTCTTATGATCAATGTTGGCAATTCATCATCTGAGTTTTCTTGTAATTCCATAGACAACACCTCCTCTATGTTATTATTATTTAATCTTTTTGAGCTCTTTGGAGTTTCTGTAACAGTTGTCTTTGGTGTTGCCTTTTTTAAAGGTGATATTTGTTCAGATTTATCAGTTAAAATGGCTCTCTTAAGAAGTATCTTAGTACCATCTGCTGCTGAGACACTCCAGTTTTTCTGTTCAGAAAGAGACACTCTGCTCATTTTCTTGATCAAGCTGATTGGGGTTCGAGAGGTTCTACCTTTTGGAGTGTCTGTTTTCTTGGGTGTATAGAGAAGCTGTAGTGCTTTTCTCTCATCCTCCATCACTGGTTCAATATACACTTTTCTTTTACTTATAGCCATAATTCTATAACGGCAAATGTAAGTATATGGAGGCAGACTTAAATTATCATCTAAATCCTTTGTAAATTTAAATAATATTGTACATTTTTTAAAGAATGTTTCAATAGACACATCAGTATCAAATGGACGATGATCTTCTATTACCTAAAATAAAAAGTTTATAATAATGGTCATTGTATATAAAACAAAATAACCAATATCAACAGGCTGTGCTTATATGTCTACCAATAACAATCTATATGCCTATAGTATTCTATTTATGGCAAACTGTCTGGGTGGATTAAATAAAAATACCCTTCATCATAATAATTTCAGCCATTATCCATCCACTGCTGGACATAAGCTTCCCCAATAAACAGCCATAAGGAACTGTTCTGAGCCACCGGCATCCACTAACTCCCTGCAATGTATTTGAGGTTGTCACTCCATCTAGTAGTGGGGTCATCCTACACTGCCTTTATTCATACAGGGTCACCACTTAAAAACTTTTTTCCCCATCAGTTGTCAGTTCTTCTAGCTGTGACCAGCACATTGCTACCTTATGCCCAAAAATACCCTTAGCTAGTATAAATAAACCATAACATTAATATACTAGAAAGGTCAAATTAAGAGTATTCAAAGTGCATGCATGAATTACTTAAATAAATTAAATATAAATTATATATTCTATTATCAAGTCACCTTGCTTCCCACTTAATTGGCATATTTGCATGGGCACAGCCTACCCGGCTGTGCCCATTCCAAGGTGTGAACTGAGCTTTTAACTATGTGTAAAGACTTGGGGGAAGGGATTGTTAGCAATGGAGTTTGATAGCCCCATTGCTAACAATATGCCCTATCAGGTCAAACTTCACGTGATTCCCCCTGGAAACCATTGTGAACAATTCTCATTGAATTCATCACGATGGGCTAACTGACCTGTTTCATCCTCATCTATTATCATTCACTGGTGCCCTATCAGAGTATACCGATAGCGCAGGTGGGATTACTATTTCATTATCACCTATAAAAAAAAAGGCTGACACTCTCCCTGGAATATTTTTTATGGAATATATTTGTGATAATTATGACTTGATTAGTTCAATAATTTATATAAAATGTTGTATTACATAAATAAATAAATGGCTAAGAATCATATAAATTCTGTATTATGAAAATCTGAGGACATAATTTAGAATATTGAGATTGAGTATTTTAGAGGTTAAATGTGTCCATGTATCTTGAAACAATTTTTTAAACAACTTGGAATGGCAAACAAACTGACGGTCTACCTGATGGAAAGTGGTAACTGTTGTTTATAAACATGAGCAGTACCATAGATATACCAGAATATACTGTTTCGCCCATGATACTCCCCATGTGTTGTCATTCCTAAGGACTCAGGTGTTATTTTTCTGTGCCCTGTAAATTCACTGACATATCCTACCCTTCAAACCGAAACAGCCATGCAAACACAACTGCTTCATGGTAGAAACACAAATGGGTCAGAGGTGCCCAACTAAATAAAATACTTCTTCTGTCTTAAATTTCTGTCTGGCTCTATCTTATGAGTTCTTTTTGGTAAATAACAAAATCTGAACCCAGTGGTAGAGTCATTTAAAGTGATGAATTAAAAGGGTTTATAAATAAGTTAATTTAGATACAATCAGTTTAAATTCTATTCAAAAACTTAGTATTTAAGATAATAATAGTTAAAATTATATTAACTAACCTCTTTATCACGAAAGCATATAGGTTCTATATCATTGAAACATGACGAAGGTAGATCGCTTGGTTTTGAGTACCATTTGACTTTTGCTCTAAAAGGATCATTATTATTCGATCTATCTTCATACAATGATAATATTTGAGCAACATCACAACCATCTTCCGTGTCTGGTTCCGCAGCATCGGCATTAGATACCAAAACAAAGTTTCCAATTTCAGCGGTTATATTTTGAAACTGAAACTTTCTACAATAAATTCATTAATATACATAAAATGTAATAATTATAATACAAAATATCCTAATATTTCACGTAATAATTTTAAATTTACTTACTCATAGTAATAAAAAGAGTTTGATAAACTTTGTGGATCCGGTATTTCTTCACTTAACCACTTTACAGTTTTAGCTTTCGGTGCAACTTTTCTTGGCATTTTTATGTTTATTTGTATAATGAATTTAAAATTCAGATAGAATAAAAAATAATCAATATTAATTAAAGATTGTTTTGGTTTAATTTGATTGACCACAAAAAATACTATTATTAGCACAGATTACAGACACTAAATTTATAAGCAAAGAGTATATAACTAAAGACTTGACCACAGATTAGAGACTATAGACTAAGAACATTACTTAGAGGTCCAAAACTCCTTCCCTAAAATGCTATTTCCCAAACTTTGCGGATGCATTTTGTGCCGTGCCATAAGAAAAGAAAAAAAAATTAGAGAGACTATGGACTTGACTAGGAATAAGGAATTACTAATACACTAGCCTGCTATGAATAGCATCTGATGAGTATCTTTCATCCTCTTTTTACTAATTATGTTTACATAAGAAGAAAGGAGGCGACCATATGATTCACAGATTTTATTTTATCATTCCTTCTATGTAATTCCTTGTTCTTAGTGTATGCCATGCCAATTGACATTCAATTAATTGACATGCATTTATTAAAATGTTACGGAAAAAGGCGGGAAACTCGAATAAGAACAAGCGGGTTTTTTAAATTTTTTTTATTAATTTATAAAAACTATCTCTATCAATTCTTATTATTGAATAAAATATTATATTTTCACTAAATTCAGTGACAGTAATATAATTAGCATTCATGGGGAAGCGCAGTTGTAGGAAAAGGAAAAAAAAAGATGACGATTCAGGTGATGTAGACCATGAACCTTGTAATGACAAGGATATATATTCGGAAGATACTTCTACTGACTCAGAATCTGAAATTGATAAGGCCGATAAGTATAAACCTTACTACGTCACAGATTATATTAGAAGATATCCCGAGGAATCCCCTGGGACAGAATTTGTTGTCTTTGTAGAATCCTCAGATAGTCAGAAAACCATTGGATCCAGAGACTTGCTCTCACTCTCCTCCTGTTTAAAACGATTTAATAAAGGGGTAACTTATCTTAGATCTATAAATAAATTCAAAATCGGAGTATACTTTCAAAAGCCAGACTTAGCCAATGCTTTTTTAAATAATAAAACTTTTTTAAATGACTACCATTTTAAGGCCAGTATTCCTGCTTCTTCAACAGAAGTTACAGGCGTTATTAGAAATGTACCTACAAATATATCTAATAAAAAAATATATACTATGATATCGAGTTCTAAGAAAATTATTGCTATTAAAAGAATTTTAAGAAAAAATACCTTGACTCATGGATATGTGTTACAGCCAACTCTAACCGTGACAATTACTTTTGCTGCATCTGTATTACCTGAATATCTGGATATTGGAGGTTGGCGCCACAATGTCACTCCATATATACCACCAGTTAAACAATGCTACCGGTGCTTGAGGTATGGACATTTAGCTAAATTCTGTAAGAATTCTGAGCGTTGCAGCATCTGCAAAGGTGAGCATAATTATAAAACTTGTACAACTGGAATGGAAAACGCTATTTGTGTACACTGCAATGGAAATCACACAAGTGTATCACCGCAATGCCCTGTTAAACAAAAGAAAATTGCTGAAAATAGATCTAAATTCAGACCTGCTTCTTTTGGAGATATACTTAGCACTGAAATATTTCCTAAACTGGGTAACAAACCTAAAAAAAATGTAGACCTAATTTCAATTCTAAATTCTGATAACAAGAGTTTATCACTTTTAATAGAAAGCATAATCAAACTTATTTCACTACATAACACAAAGAACACATCTATTAACACTAAAAGTGTTTTGAATGTGTTATATGATACTTTTGGTAATACACCTATTTCACAAAATTCAATCGAGACCAATTAACTATCATACAGTGGAACGCTCAGAGCCTACTGAGCAATCGACTTATTTTTACACAATTTTTAAATGAACATCATATTCACATTGCTCTCATCTCAGAAACTTGGCTAAAACCACATTACAAATTAAAAATTAAAGATTATTGTATAGAACGAAATGATTGTGGTAATAACCACAATGGAGTAGCGATTATTATACATAATAGTATTAGATATAAAAAACTTCACTCTTTTTTCGACAATTCTTTGCAAACTATAGCTATTAGTATTGAAGTTAATAATTCTTGGTATTCAGTTGCCAGTATTTACTGTCCTACCAATAGTACACCTAGTTTTACTAAAGCCAAATTTAAGTTCTTTTTGGAGTCTCTTCCTAAACCCACTATCATATCTGGAGATTTAAATGCACATCATACTATGTGGGGTTGTACCTCCACTAATACAAGAGGTAAAGACATTCTTGATTGTTTAGATGAATGTAATTTGGTACTATTAAATGATAAGCAAGTTACTACTGTTGGCTCTCATATTTGGAGACCCAATGGCCTTGATTTAACTATGGTATCCCCATCCATATCATTAAAATGCGAGTGGTCGGTTCATGATGATCCGTTAGGAAGTTATCACCTGCCGACTTTTACTAAAATAAACACAAAGAACTCTTCATCAACTCCGTCAGGTGAACAACATGCTCCTATAGATGAAGTTAATAAACTTTTGTTAAATCGTATAAACCTACGTCTCGTTAATTGGGATCTTTATTCTGAAACTGTTAATCAATTACTTTTGGATTTCGAGTATGATGTCAATGAACCCTTAAACAATTACAATAGATTCTGTAAAATTATTTTGACAGCTGTGGAACGTTCCGTTCCACGTAGGAACTTATCAAATAGCGGTGCAAATACTTCAAAGAGGCACAAACATATTGCAGTACCTTGGTGGAATAACAGGTGTGCGACAGCTGTCAATGATAGTAAAGCGGCTTACCTTAGGTTTAAACAAAATCCAACTCTCGATAATTACATAAATTTTAAAAGAGTTCAAGCTGTTAAAAAGTTAGTAATTAAGCAAGTAAGACAACAGGGGTGGCAGGAATTTTGTTCCAAATTTAATAGATTAACACCAATTTCCACTGTTTGGCAAAATATGAGAAAACTAAATTCAAAACATCGTCAAAATCATTTTAAAGATATATCATGGGTCAATGATTTTTTACGCAAATATACTCCTGATTTTGTACACTCACCTTTTGATGACAAACAGTTTAATTCTGTTAATTCATGCCCAAAATTTCTCACTGACCCATTCTCAATTGATGAAATATCCAGTGCAGTAAAATCTAGAAAAGATACAGCTAGTGGCCTTGATCGCTTAACATACAATATGTTTCGATTGCTGAATAAAATAAACCTTACTAAACTCTTACAAATTTTTAACGATTTATGGAAGGACTGTATTATCCCACCAGAATGGAAAATGGATTGTTTGATTCCAGTAATTAAACCCGGTAAAGATCCTACAAATTTCGACTCCTATAGACCTATAACATTGACGTCCTGTGCAGGCAAATTATTCGAACAATTAATTAAACAGCGTTTAGAGTTCTTTATTGAAAGTAATAGTATATTACCATCGAATCAATTTGGTTTTCGCCGTGGATATTCAGCGCGCGAAAGTTTAGCGAACTTCTATGTCGACCTTAGTACTGCTTTGAATAACGATGAATATGTTCTATCTGTTTTTTTAGATGTCGTAGGAGCTTTTAACAATGTAAATTTAACAGTTCTATCTTCGATTTTATCCTCATTTCTTCCAATGAAACTTATCGAATGGATTTATAATTTTCTTAGTAATAGAGAAGTGTATGTTAAAGTAAATAGTAAATTAATAGGACCTAGGTTAAGCTCTAAAGGAGTATGTCAAGGTGGTATTCTAAGCCCGCTACTATATATTTTATATATCTATAAACTTAATTCAATTTTAGGAAACAGTGTGAACAACTTGCAATTTGCCGATGATTTATTAATTTATATAAAAGGAAAGAATATTATTGATATGCAATTAGTGTTAAATGAGTCATTAAAAAGACTTGAGAAATATTTTTCTCTTCTTTCCCTCGATATTAGTTTAACCAAAAGTAAAGTAGTTGTTTTTCATCAAGTTCATAAATATGTTCCATTAATGAATATTATATATAATAATCAAACTCTTCCAACAGATTGTAGCGTTAAATTTCTGGGGTTAATTTTTCATCAAAATTTAAAATGGGATCTATACGTTGATTGCTTAGTAGATCGTGCTTTAAGAGCCACTAATATAATAAGATCTGTAATTGGTCGTAACTGGGGAGCTGATCCTAAAATTATCCTTTTACTTTACAAATCTCTTGTTAGAAGTAATTTTGATTACGCTTTCTTTTGTTATGCCTCAGAACATAAATTAGTAGAAAAACTCGAAAAAATTCAAAATATGAATTTAAGACTTATTTTAGGTGCTATGTATACTTCTCCAATTATCTCAATGCAAGTAGAATGTAATTTGCCTCCTATCCTTCTTCGTTTCGAATACCTAAAACTCAAATTTCTCTTCAAAGTTTTTTCAGTTTCCAATAACCCACTCATACTCAAATTATTAAATTGCCCCATTTCTATGTTTTTGAATAAAACTATTGTCAATGATTTGAATTTACGAGATGAATATAACATCTATAGTAGTAAGATACTTCCTTGTTATAATGGCCTTTATGAGAGTAAGTTCTGTAAGATCAAAATTGTTATACGTAAAGACATAAAAGAAAAGCACGATATGTATGAGACTTTATCAGAATTTATTGACTACAGGCAGATATATACAGATGGTTCCAAAAATGCACTTAGCACTTCAGTGGCTTTTTACGATTTGTCAAATAGATTTGGTCACGGTTATAAAATTTCAACTTTGGCTAGTATTTACACAGCAGAAGCAAAAGCTATATTTTTAGCATTAGAATACATAGAAAAACAGGTACTATATTCGAAATGGATTATAATTACAGATAGTATGAGTGTTCTCATGGCATTAAAAAATAACACATTCATTTCATCATCAAACTACTTAATTCAAGAAATTCGTAATAAATATTATCATCTCTGTACTATATATGGAAAAGATATTATCTTCATCTGGACCCCTTCACATATTGGAGTGTTTGGGAATGAACAAGTAGACACTTTGGCTAAAATTATTAATTCAAGTGCTGCTCGTGTTCAAGATTTACCCCTTTGTTATTCAGATTGTAGTATTGGAATACATAAAATCGTTACAACTAAATGGGAGGAGCATTGGACTCAAATATTACAGACTAAAGGCAAATGGTACCGCAAAATTAATTGGCGTATTGGAAAACCGTGGTTCTGCAAAGGAAAGGACACAAACAGAAAATTTTACACCAATATTTGTAGATTACGAATCGGCCACGGACATTTCAACGAACACCTGCACCGAATGGGCATGATCGCTTCCCCATCATGCACATGGTGTAACTCAAATACAGCCCAATCTCTACATCACCTTTTTTTTGATTGCTCTGAATTTGTCATTCAAAGACACATTATGTTTGACGAACTTAGGATTATCTTCAAAAAACCCGAAAATATCCCGCACTCAATCCCGCTTCTCTTAAAATTTCCTTCTTGTTTCAAAGCTATTTTCACTTATATTACTACAACATTCAAGGAGCTATAAGAATACTTTTATTGAATTGCAAGACAATGATTTTTTATAATTATTTATTTTTAATTTGATAAATCCACTGGTTTAAGAAAACTCAAGAAAAGATATTTATGAAAATGTACTTACCGGATTTGACAAATGAAATATTGAAGATTATGACAATAATTGAAGCGACATTAGAAAAATAAAATTCCAGACAAATTATCTTTTTGAAGACTAGGCAGCATGGTCTCCGACCTTAGCCTGTTCCAAACGGAACAAACGTACTAAAAAAAAAAAAAAATTAAAATGTTACTGTCACTTTGTTGTGACATGCTGAATCGCATGTGTTGTGTGTTGTTTTTTGGTTATAATAGAAATAGAACTTAATGAAAATGAAGTTTAAACAAAAGAGATCAATAAAATCTACACTATCAGATAAAATAGCTGATGCCCTTACAGTGAAACCTAGAGCTGATATTGAAGATGACCAGGTGTTTGGTACTAAACCACGGACTGTTACACGAGGTGAATTTAGTTCAGATAGTGAAGATGAGGCAGCAATCAGCGATTTTCGAAAAAGGAACGTGAATTTATTAAGTGAAATCAGCAGAAAGTATGAAGGTAAAATTGTATCGCGGAAAGAACACGAACAATCTATTGGAAGTTCTGACAGTGAAGACAGCGATGTATCTGATGAACAACTAACAGCCACGAACGGTCAACTCACAGACTCTGAAAGTGAGAAAAAGGGTACAGATTCTGATGATACAGACGCAGATAATAATATTAAATTATTAAGAAGGAAAAGTAACGAGGCTAGTGCACATTCTGGAACAGATACTTCAGATGATGATTATGAAAGTGATGGTTATAGTATATCCAAGTTTCAAAAATCCACATCCCAAGGTTCATCTGATGATGATGATGATGGCGATAGTGGTGATGAAGAAGGTTATGATATTAGCCAAATGGAAGAGCCACCTAAAGAGGAGTTTGAACATGTAAAAAGGCAGAATGTATCAGAAGAGGCAAAGAAAGGTGCATGTGTAAGAAATCAGCTTTTAATTTGGGAAGGATTGCTAGAGATGAGAATTCATTTACAGAGATGTATTAGTACAGCGAACCAAATGCCTTTGCCAGATACTTTTGAAAAGTTGAAAACAAATAATGATTTTGTTGATAATGTAAATGCTACTAAAACGAATGTAGCCCATGTATTAGATAAGTATGTATTATGATTATTTTAATTTTATAGTTAACCAACATATTTTTTGCTTTTTCTAAATCCTTAATTGGACTTCTTAATCAGAAGTCTGTGAAATTGTAGTTCACTCAAACACTATAAAATATAAAGGCTCTTAAAATATTTTCATAAATAGCTTTTTCCCACAATTCCATATGGACCACTGCGATATGTTTATTCTGGAATAAAATGTAACCTATTATCCTTTTTCATTCCATATAGTATGTGTAGGGGTTCCCTAGCACTGGACACTTAACGTATTTAGAAAATAAAAGAAAACCTATTTCAAGTTATTTAACTTTATGAAATAATTAACACAATATAAAATCAAAATAAATGGGCAAAAGAGCAAACTGTATATAAACATTCTCAAAATGTTTAATAAAATTTAGTTAAGAAAAATTGAAATTGTTCTGAGAGGCTTCTAGTACCTGATATACTTAATTTCCTGGCCTAAGATGCCAGATATTTCTAATGATCATACATTTATTGTAAATAAATATACCTACCTATATGTACCTGTATATTTCCCTGTTTGTGTATATTTCATGAGCCAATCCATGATGGCTAAAGCACCCATATCTATATCATGGACTTTTGTAGTAGGTGTGTAGTAGCCTACTACACGAGTAATTCTCTTATTATCTGCTTGAGTTAATGTTTCTTTTTTTCTATATTATATCTTCAGTTTTTCTTTGTTTTTTTCACTGATTAGTTTCTATTTTTTGTAGTATTTTTGTAGTAGTAATTTTTGTAGTAAATGTTTTTCCCATTTCTTTTTTGTTCTTTTCTTTCTCTTTTTTTTTCAATAATAATTTTATGTAAGGATAAAATTTGGATCAAATTTTTTCACATGTTCTCTTTTTAACAGCTGATTGTTGTATGACAAGCACCTGATAATAGCGAGAATTTATGAATTATCTAGACAACATCTAAAATAAAGCCAATGTATAGTTTGAAACTGTTGACTGTTGGTTAGCTCATATACTCTTTAGGAAGAGATGTAACAATATTCTCATCTTTTGAGACTAAATTGTGTACAATTTAGCTTAATTTGGAATCTGTGATACAAATTTGCTATAACAAATTCTAGCTAGCTATAAAGATTTCATCACAGTTTCCAAATGCGTTACAAGATAAAATATAATAAGTTATAAAAAAAAAATATATATGTTGCTTGCCCTTTGTTATGGAATGACTTTGTGTCTGGTACTACAGGGACAGGTAGTCTCAAAATTAAGTATTTCCTATCAAAGATGTTTGGTATATCAACAAGAATTTATTACAATCTTCTATAGATTTTCTTCTATTTTTCTTACCTAAGTTTTATATGTAATAATCATATATGTATATGTTGCAATGTATGTTCCAGTATAAAATAGGCCACTCCTTTCTTTCCTGTGGGTGTTGCAAGAGTTGACTAAGGGAGGGTGAGGGATGGATGACAGTGTCCGTCTTAAAAGATCTCTAAAGCGGTTGTCAACCTGCTTGCCAAGCATAACGATTACTGGCAAAACCCCTAAAATTGAAAATTGATATGATTATATATGATGATGATAATATGATGATATATATATGTGTATTGGTATATTGTACATGTAATAATGTGATATATTTTACTCCATTGCAGATTTATGACCTTACAAAGTTTGTTATTTAAGAAGTTTCCTGAGACTAAAAACTTATTAACAAACAAGCCGTCACATGAACCCAAAGTGGAAAATAAACAGGAAAGTGATGAAGAAATACCAAGTGACACTGATAATGAAGAAATCCCTTCAGATACTGATGTAGAAGATAATTCTGTTGTCAATGACACCAATTCTTTTAAGAAAAATAACACAACTTCTAAGAAGCGTAAATTGGAGGATTATGAAAAAGACATTGCTACATCTCACAAATCTTTTAAAACATTTAGGAACACAACAATCCAGAAATGGAATGACAAAACAAGGCTAGCAACAGCTGCCAATATAAAAAATGCACCTACAAATACAATTTTACAACAAATATCATATATTTTATCAGATAGAGAAAAATTAATCAAGAGAACACAATTGAAACGTTCTGAATATGATATTATTGGCTATAAAAAGTCTACGGATGAAGAAAATATGCAACAAAATGTAGAACAAAACACTGTAGTGAAAAGTAGAAAGGATGTTGATGAATACATACCTGAAATATTTGATGACAGTGATTTTTATCATCAGTTGCTAAGAGAATTGATTGAATGTAAATCTGCAGATATATCAGATCCCGTACAGTTAAGTAGACAATGGATAGCATTACAACAAATGCGAAGTAAAATGAAAAGGAAAGTGGACACTAAGGCCACTAAAGGCAGGAAGATTAAATATGTAGTTCACAATCAATTAGTAAATTATATGGCTCCAGAAAAATGTAATACATGGACTGATGAGAGCACTAATGAACTATACAATTCATTGTTCGGTAAAATGTTCGAAAATAATAATGCAAATGTTAATCTTGATCTAGATAAAGCTACTTTAAAATAAAATTATTTTATTATTATTGTTTTCTATTTTTGTAAAATATTACTGATAATTATGATTAGTTCAATAATATGTATTAAATGTTGTAAAAAATAAATAAATGCCTCACGATCATATAAATTCTGTGTTATGGAAGTCATAATGTCACAGTCAAAACAAGTCCATGCATCTTGAAATGTATTATTAAATGAAATAAATTTACGAGCCATACCAATAGTACCTCAGTCGTTAGGATTAGCAATATATAAAGAGTACCAAGTCATGTGCATGGCGCTGTTTATGTCTATAGACGACGGTTACCATTTTTCATTAGCTGAGTCGTCAGTTTATTTGCCACTCTTAGTGACAAATAAATTGGTCTTAGTGCCACTCTTCTAGATACATAAAATAAAAAAAATCCGATTACCTCTCCCATGATGAAAAACACCGTCAAAAAATGAAATTATCCGAGAGACGTCGATCAGTTCATACACATTGCACTTAGATCTGTTTATTTTTTTTATACAACTTAGAATGGTAAACAAGCTGACGGCCCACCTGATAGAAAGTGGTAACCGTCGCTTATAGACATGAGCAGTACCATGGACATAACAGAGTATACTGTTTCGCCCATGATACCCCCCATGCGTTGCCATTCCTGAGGACTCAGATGTTATTCCTCCGTACCCAGTAAATTCACACCATATCCCACCCTTCAAACCGAAACAGCCATGCAAACAACTGCTTTACGGTTGAAATACTAATGGAATAGAGGTACCCAAGCAATCGACTTTTGTACAAAGTCTTCCTCTAGTAAACTGGTTAATATAACACTTGATACCTCCCAATGTACTGTATGAGGTTACAGGTATGAGCATCATACCAATTACGAGTATAACTGTATTAATTTAATCTCCCCTAAAGAAAAATAACAATTTTGCTAAAGACGCTTACTAAAATTGTTATTATTTACATTAATAATAGTAACACAGGCGTATTTAAGGGATGGATAAGGATTTGGTGGTGGGGCCCGAGCCTTGTGGTTTCAGCATAGAATGGGTCATCTCTACTTTCCCGTGAATGTCGTTTAGGCGACTAAGAATTTAACGGTCGAGGGATGGTCAGCAGCATCCCTTTTAAAACATTATCAAAGTCTAATTGCGGTTTTTTAATGGATAATAATGGAATGGCAATCTAGCCCGCGGTAACAGTATACACTGACGGGACTCCAGTAAGGGATGACAGGTGAAAATGAAAAGGCAGGTCAGTTAGCCCATCGTTATAGATGCACCTGGAATTCAGCACGGTGGTTTCCAGGGTGGACCACGTGGAAGTCGACCTGAGAGGGTATATTGTTAGCAATGGGAGTGGTAGTACGCATTACTAACAACCTTTTCTCCCCGCTTAACTGCGGTTGCCAATCGTCTTGCTACTACCAACCAAATACGGGTAAAGTCCCTTAAGAAGCAGGCTTATGTTCGTCAGTAGACAGTTAACGGCTGATATGATAAGGATTTTGTGGGCCGTGCCGACCGCAGGATCGGGAGCAATGTTTTCAGCAATGCGCAAAAACATGTTTGCGAGTTCATATACGCTTTTTTAAGGGGTCAGTGCTCCCTTGGAAAATAATCTTCAATACGCCAATGAATAATATGCCTTTTTAACGCATTTAAAATACTCAGTAGGTACTTGGAAATTATGAATTTTGTGATAACTGTTAAATAAAGAACTTCCGGGATCTCAGCGGTTATGTAAAGATCGTGCCAGTCACGTGGTCGTTGTAAGATCGCATGCCACAGACAGTGAACTGTATGAGTAAATAGGTATTATTTACCTACCTACTGTCGCTTATTGATATGAACAGCATCATCGATATCTTAATACATTATGATACCTAAGGTATCCTTCGTGCATTATCGCTTCTAAGGTCTAAGGTGTGATGTCTCTTGTTTCAGCAATTGTAATGGATATCTCCATTATATTGGTACGTTGAACATCGCTTCACGACAATAACAAGTTTTTATTTCTGCAACAAACAAAAAACAGTCCAACTGATAAAAAGTGGCAATTCATTATCTATCTCCGTCCTCCCCCGGAGTATTACTAAGGTAAGTAGGTACTTAATGTACCGATTTTAATAAAGGAGCTCATAATGCTATATGAGAATATGTCCTAGTTAGGTTGGGGGAGGGGGGGGGGGGAATTAATTGTTAGTAATGAAGACTACTAGTACCATTGCTAGCAATATACCCTGTCAGGACGACCACGCGGTCCCACCCTGGAAATATCGTGCTGAATTCTAGGTGTATTTATCACGATGACCTGCCTCTTCATTCTTACCTATTATCCTTCACTGGTGCCCTACCAGCGTATACCGTTAGCGCAGGCGGGGCCACCATTCCATTATCATCCATTACAAAAAACTTAGGTTGTGTGAAATACAAAGCACGTCGTAGTTGAATCCACTTGTGATTATCGTTTCTAACAGGTGCTTTATTGCTTTGTGTTATAAGTCATTCTCCGAGCTATAACTTTCCACACTATATCCGCAACCTGTTATCTGTTTCAATGACCTGGCCATCCAAGTGGTTTAGGTTATCTCCAGTAGCAAATAAACAAGACTATTCAGCAATATCTAGCCATACCAGTAAATGTGACACTTCATTTTTGTCATTCCACACAGACTGTATTAATAAGTGGTGTAGGTTTTATTTTCTGAAATTAATTGGCTGTTTGCTATGTATTTTGTCTATCGAGGTCATGTAACATGTGTATCGGGTCTTCGCCCACACATGTAAATTTGTAATCATGCTGAAATGTTTCTGATATGCAATTAAACAGGCAAACTGAGATAGTGCTATACCTTTTATCTGAAGATTTTGGACTTGGACCTGAAGACCTCGAAATTTATGTTTTGGTTATGAATATATTTGTATACTGTTTAATATGTAAAAAAAAAAACTATAATTACCGGCATGTATAATGTAATAATATGTAATTATTATTTACCAGACAGGTTACAAATAAATTGTACTTACTTAATTCAGTCAAATGCCATCTTCAAGAAATTCATAATCTATACTAATATTATCACATTCACATAGTCATGTAGCTCGAAGACCCGATAACCGATGGGGAAGCAAGGTTCTTGAGTGGCAACCGCGTACGGGCAAACGCAGTTTAGGAGAACCCCCCTACTACATGGAGTGACGACCTGAAATGCATTGCAGGGAGTCAGTGGATGCAGGTGGCTCAGGACCGTTCTGTATGGCAGTCTATGAGGGAGGCTTATGTCCAGCAGTGAACGAATAATGGCTAAAATGAAGATGATGATGATACTAATATTATAAAGAGGAAAAATTTGATTTATTATTGGTAATAGATAAATTAAAAAATACTCAAATGATTTTAAAAACACTTTTACCCATAGAAAGCTATATTGTCAGTGAGGAATATAGAAAATGTATATTATTTTTAAAATTCTATCTACCCGTGCGAGGCCGGGCCGACTTTAATAAACATCATGAAATTATTATAAAGGTCAGCAACACGCCTGCATTTCCTCATCCTCCTTTAATTTTATATTGTTATTAATATTCTAAATGTGAAAGTGACCATGTTTGGTATCTCTCGTAGCGCCTTAAAAAATACATATACTATTGTGGGTGGAGAAGAACGTAGAATTTTTATCCCGGTCAATAAGCACATCCTGGTCACACACACGAAACCGAGGATATACTTGATAAGTTATGATTTAAATAAAAAAAAATGTTAGTTATGGTCTATCAGTAGAAGTTAGGTAATAAAAATTTTACGATGAAACTCTCATAAGTCGTATTTATCACTTCCTTATATAAAAATATTTTTGTTTTTTATAAACTTGTAGCCAGAGTAAACAGGATAAGTCATATTTATTGAAAGTGCAGAAACATGAAGAAAGTAGGTAAATAATGTATAATATTTTTAAGGTCTAATATAATTTTGATGATCTCTGTGGCGCTGTAATAAACATGTTGCTTTATGTAAATGTCGGTTGGGTCAATTTAGAAAATGAACATTTCGGAATTGTTACATGTCTGAGTGTTGTAAGTTGTACTCCCAATGTTTGTTGTCAGTTATGTTATAACACAACATCTCCTAATTCGAGAAACAGGCAATTGGTGTGATTATGCGGCATTTAAAAAATTGTGGTAATATCAAAAAAAATGCCTAACTACATTTACAAGTACATTATTTGTTCAAGTACATGACCGGTTTCTTTTCGTTAATTGTCATTAGATGTAACTAATTCTAATAATAATTATATTAGTTTATCTTCCTAATTAAAACATAATGTGATAGGGCGTCCCCGGGGCACGTCTGTTGGACTTTGTACAAAACAGTAGAAATCAACGTTACTCACGGCATGTTGAATGTACTTATATATAAAAATAAATCCTTAAGTATAATCATCATAAACTTAAGGTTTTATTTTTTATAATATCATAATATATAATCACAATATCTTGAGTAATCTTGACTGCATACAGCAACAATACGGTCTGTTAATGCGTTCCACCGGAAAGAGATTGTTTTACTCTCAACGGTGGAGACCGCAATAAGCCGTATCACTGAGTGCTTTTTCACGCTACGTTTGAAGGACTGAAGGGATCACGTCAAAAGAAAGGCCATTCCACAATGTAGTTGTTAATAAAAATATTTTCTTTTGTTGTTAGCAATGAACATTTTTTTTCTTTCTTTCTAATGGTACAGTTCAGGTAAATTATTCGTACGCGAGTACGGTCGGTCTAGTTTTGTGCGTTTTTTTTTAAACCAAACTGAGTAGTGCAAAGAGTTATCTTCGTGTGCAATCTTTGATACAAGAAGATAAGACGTTATTCCTTAGGAATAGTAACGCATGCAATTAAAGATCTAAACATAAAAAAAATTAACATTTATTTTTAAATATTGCATTTTTATTACTATAAATATTTGAATATTATATGTTACACTCCAAACCATGATAAATATTGTATAGGCTAACATAATTTATTAGAAATTAGATCCGTTTAATTATATAAAATATAAATTACAACAAAAGATAAATAAAACAGAGTTCGTATCTCATATTAACGTGTCTATATTCAAACCCTTTAGTCGAACGGCCTTTGATATTATGTTACATGCATTCAAAGCTTTCACAACTTCGGACATCTGGTACCTATTGTGGTATCTATATCATAGATAATACTCGTATAAAACTATATTCCAAACTCATAACCCATTAACCTATATTCCAAAATAAAAAAGATTTAAGATTTAACTTGTTGACATAAGTATATAAACACAGTCAAACTTACTGGTGCCAAAAATTCGAATATTTTGTACGTAAATAGGTTTTTAAAGTTATTTAAAAAGTCTGCGTATAATATTAAATAATAATAATAAATGGAAAACAACGCCAATTAATCCTAAACTAAATAAAACTTGTACTATGAGTACTTAGATTAGACAATTGATAAAGATTCGTAGCTACATTTTTCTAATTATATACATACACATAAGAATCGTTCTCACAACGATCGGAACGTTTTTGATATTTAAGTAAAATTATATAGATATTCTATAACCTTAGATCCTATAACACAATATGAAGAAATGTACTTTTGTTGTATGACGCGTTGGATCACATAAACATAATATTTGATAAATTATCACATAGCTTATTCTTACTAATATTTCGTCGCTACTGTTCAGTTCCTTGCTGATTGCTGGTTTTATTATAGTTTAATTATGCAGGAATTTATACCAGAAGAATAAAATAATAATAAAAATGCCGTGTATAGACGTGCATGTATATTGACGAAGTGATAGAGAAGAACAAAAGAAACATTCTATAAAACAAAAGAAAAAAAAAGTATTTTAAAATTATAAAATAGTTTGAATTACTATATTTTTGTTCGTATTGAACAGCCACAATTGGCTTCTTTTTTTTTCTTTCCGATGATTAACACAGATAAAGAAACAAATTAGAGACAGCAGTTGATTAGTTTCTTCTGTGGTAGATTTTGAAAATGGAATATCTAAAAAGAATCCTAGTAGTTAACGCTGGAGGCAGATTCTATCAAGTGTCATGTAGAATAGTAAATTTCAAGCTGGCATCGTTAAATAGCGTGTTTACGGGACTCTTTGCCAAGTAATACAATTGACGGCGATCGGATACCCCGGGGATGTAGAAGCTGTAGTGTAAACGATAAGCAGATCCGATAAATGATTGTTATTATTATTCCATATCTTAAAAAGATAGATGGAAGTATTTACTGTCATTAGTTCTTAAGAGATTTGATTTTATTTCAATCTGTATTTTACCTAATTTGTAATAAATATATAAATGCAACAATAGAATTATTTTATATACTAGGTAACCCGTATACACGTTAAAAATTAAGAGTTAAGAAAGTAAATGAAGCAAGAAATGTGTAAACTCTTTGTCTATCTCGAAAAAGGTCGGTAAACAATTAAAAAAAGATATTTTTATAAAAAAAAATGTTCTATAAATATGCAATGCTATAATATTTCAAGATTATTCTTATAAAACGACTTCATTTTATATCTTAATTAGTATGGATTAAAACCAATATATTACAATATTTTTATAGTAGATATCGCGTAACATATATTCATCAAGACTTCAAACATGAGGAGGTTGTCAATTCAATGAAATTAAAGTCTTTTATTTATGATGACAAATTATTGTTTGTCTCCGCAAATCGCTTTCAGTTTAATATATGGAGCAAAATTGTGATCTCAGATAACATCTGGGCGGGCGGGCGGCACGACGCGTAGCGCGGCCAGTTGCAAGAGCGCGCGCGGACTACACAAACGTAGCCATATTGAACTGTTAGTGAGCATACTATCAAGTTGATAACCGCGAGTGTCTAATTACCAAGTTACTGACAGTTAACAAAGTGATGTGCAATTAATATGTGAGTCGATAGTGTTGTGTGACGAAAGATTATGGATGCGAAAACTTTATGGTAAGTACTTATTAACTTATTGTTTGTATATTAACTTATTTAATTAACGCCCAGTTTTCGATTAAACGGATTAAATATTGGTCTTATATGAAGTAAATTAGACTGAGAATAACTTAGATTTTTTTTTAAATCTTTTAAAATGAATATCATGAATTATTTTCTATTTTTTCTCACATAGACAAGACAATTAGAAAATACGTGCGGAAAAGATCAAAGTACGACACAAAGAGATTTCTCGGTTGTTGATTGTTTAGATATGTAATATTCAGGGAAAATGTTCAGGGATTTAAAAAAAAGTAACTTAAATAGACTAAAGGAACTAAAGACTAGAAAAACTTAAGGACTATATAAAATACAATTTATATTAAGAGAATTAAAAAATACTAATTATTTTGGTTACAAAAACATTGAATATTTATTTTAGTACTTATTTCTATATATTGCTATTAAATTATTAATAGTAAAAATAATGAAATATAGCAGAATTTATCTGTTTGAAAAAGGAAATTTTTGTAAGTATTGTTCTGCGACATTTCAATTGCACGCATAAAATAATTCCTTATTTGTTGTTTGTGTAGTCATTCCGCGAACCTAGTTAAATCGAAAAACTGATAAATAACTAAGTTATCAATATTATTGGGTTAAAGGTTGCCTTGACTCTTCTGCTCAGTTTAAGGGTCATCTTTATAGAAGCTACTGCGTTTATGACAAAAATATACGATAATAAAGATAAGTCCATATTCTTATATATATGTATATGCATATAGGTGTCTTAGTTTTAAATAAATCAACGCGCTCATAATAATATATTGCACAAGAATAAGAACTTAAGAACCTAAGAATAACTAATGCCGTAATAAGGGTCAACGTGTATATATAGTTGCTTATAAACATAATTATAAGAGGATTATAAGGGGAAATAATAAGCGAGACATGATTTATTATCCTATTGCCAATAATATACACAAGTATATTAGAAAAGGCACTAAAGATTATATAAATAGTATGCAAAAAATATTAAATAATAGGTTTTTGTGATTGTGAGTTTTAAATACACACTGATATTTTTGCAAAAACCCTTTGTATTCTCCATCATTTGCCTTCAGTATTTTGTAACAAATTGTGGAAGAGTACGGATTTTTTTTGTAATAATATCAATAAACCAAATACTTAAAGGCGCGGTCGCTCGCTCTTGACATCCAGTGGCCTCTCATAAATCATGTCTAAGGATGTATTCTGAAATATTAGGTGCACATGTAACGCAAAACCTCAACGAAATATATTGAGTATTTTTAAATTAAATGGTACCTTATGGAGTTAGGTATCATTTTACATGAAGACAAATTTGAGATTAAAAAGATTTGTACCGGTTGTAGATAAGTAGGTTTTGGTTGTTGTTAAGAAATCAATACATATAATAAAATCATAACTAGTCGCTGTCTGTACATAGAAGATATATATAGGGGCTTTATGAATGCCCAAAATAATGATTTTTAGAATTTTATAATATATATTCTTTATTGCACTTGTAAATTACATTGTTAATGCATTTATAAATATTGTGAGCAAGGGTGGACTTATCTCTGACAGAGATCTCTTCCAGTCAACCCAATGCAGTTAGAAAGCATGTTGTTAGCGGGCAGCTGAAGTGCTACAACTATTAATATTTAGTGTACATAAACAAATATACAGTTAAATAAAATATTAAGGTACATAATAAAATATTACATAAATACATATACTATAAATAAATATAATACCTACCTACTTATACAATGGATGTTAAAATAAATGAATATACTACCTACAATCTGTTTGTCTCTACATTTGTGCACGTTAATCTCAGAAACGGTTTAACCGATTTGAATGCGGTTTTCATTACTGTTTATTTTATTTCAGTCGGTTCATAAATAAAAAAGTTATATCAATCTAAAGAATCACATATAAAATGCTATAAAATAACCGATCGGTTGAATTAAATGAAACTTTATGAAGGTATTGGATACGTAATTATCATTTAAGTATATAATACAATATAAGACTGGATTAATGAACAGTTCCAATGGGAATGATATACGGGAACTACATAGAAGCGAGTAAAGCCGCGGGAAACGGCTAGTAGACAAATAAATCAATAACAAGTGTTACACAATTACACGTTATACAATTACGAACTACGTTACGAAATACTTTATACAATAATAGGAAACTATATAACGAACACCTGGGAGAACAACTGAACGACCCAGAATACCTAGACCCGAGCTAATTTAGTAAATTTCGTTTATAAAACTGGCCCGACTGAAAATCTAACCCAAAACCTAATTACACAAAATAATACGCCCGCCGTTGCGCCGGTCGATCCTCCATAATTAACTATTACAGATTCAAAAATTTATACGAGTATAAATAAACCGCTGGTATTATGAGTTTTTGGTTATTTTTATAGTATATAAAGGTTTCTGTCGCCTACCAGTTGACTGCCCTCACAAGCACGAAATAAATCATTATCATTTTATAAAACATCCAAACATTAATTTGATTTTGTTGCAATTTAACTTTAGAATCAATTCACTGACCGCAATCGATCGTTCCGAGTTTTCATCGCTTTATCATGATTCTTGTGATCACTCGAATTTGAAATTTTATTATTTACTTCCAGATGTTTATATTTATGTGAACAAAGAGTCTTTGTTTAAACATCAAAGTCCGTAGCGATTTCCGAGTACTTCTCTACGATTAATATCAAAAAGCAGGAGATTGGTAGGTATTAGAATAAGAGAAATAAACAGTCGTAAATATTAACTTCGATAACTTCGTCCAGAAATGTTCTAATTCGACAATTATCAATTTCACAGGAGGAATATTTAAAGGGTTTAGGTTTACTTAAGTAATACAATTGTAATACTGGATATTTTATACACAATGGAAAATTGTAAATCTAAGTTACCTGTCTAGGAGTCATTTAAGTGATTACTGTTAAGTTCTTAATTTACTTGTATTTTTTGTATTGTGTGTTTGTTATGCGATATCTTTACTATCTCTGAACTGATTTTAAAGATGATTATTTCGAACGTGTATAAATAGGAAGGCCTTTTATTTGTGAATAAAGAAGACACTTGGTAAATTCGAATATTTAGTTTTTTATTTTTCTAGAAAAAGTTAAATTGCAAATATAAACAATAAATAAATGTTCTTTTGCGAACCAAAGCCTTAAATTATAGTATAAATTAGATTTTTATTTATATTGTGAAAATCTGATATATTTAGGGTTTTATAATGTTTTTAATATATAAAAATAAATATGTGTAGGTGTTACCAATAGATAAGCACAATTTTATGGGAAATTACAAACAGAATTTGAGGTATAACTAATGCAAATATTATTCTGTAAATGTAAAGTAAACCGCAAATATGATAGATACCTAATTAATCTTTTCAAATCCATTTAATAATATCACGTCCCACTATGATGAACTGCTATTGGTATTTAGGTTTATATCGACTTTCAAAAGTATGTTCTGTTCTGCTTAAACATAACCAAGTAACATAGTAAGCAGTTTGAATTTAGAGTTTATAATCGATGTATTCCTAAAGTAAACATTTAACTTGTTTAATGAAAATCTTCATTTAGTAATATACATACAACTTTAAAGTACTCAGCAAGCTTTGAAGAGAGCTATACTTGGTTTTTCTTTGCGTGATAGAATCCGAAAGGAGGATATAAACCGTAAAAGTAAATTTTTTATACTTTGGATTAATTTATTGTAATTTTCGTACAGATCTCTATTTAAATTGAATAAAATATAATCTATGTTACTCGTTGTTAATGTAGATGAAAGAATTTACTTCTCTTTTCATAATACATATATAGATAATATTATCATAATAACATTAGTAAGTACAACAGGTAGGTATATAATAGGTTGACGAAGGTCTGAATCCTGAGAAGGATACTTTGGTGATCCGGGCTCTTCTCTTTTATATAATAATCTGGATTTATACGTGTAAGTACTCACACACATATATATGTTCGGCTTGTATATGTCGTAATTAATACCAATTCAATATTCCCAAAACTATAGATCCAAAATACGTAATATGTGTTCATGTCCCACACATAATAATATCGTATTGTTACAAAGATTTATTCACTTGCTCCTTAGAAGCACTCAACCAAATGATATTGGTTTGAAATTGAAAATTGTATTTGTTACTATTTATACATTCATGTGTATGGAAACGACAGGCTTAATGAGGTTTAAAAAAGAGATTGAACAATTTGCGTTCTAGGTAGTATTCATTCCGTTATATACCTACTCTTATGTAATTGGAATACGCCCTAAGCGACAGTTTGAGAGACATGGAGTAGTGTAGGTTAGGTATATGTATTTCAATCAATGGTGTACCAAAAACCCAAGATTTCGTATTCCTACATAAAAGTTAAAATTGTCCAGGACTAAGATTTAAGTAAGTATAAAAAGATATATCATAAGTCAAGTAGATTTTTTGCTGAAAATGTACTATTCAAAATAAATATATTCGTATTATAACATACTTATACGAATAATGGATACAAATTTGTTTATGTTTATATTTTATAATTAAGTATTCAGTATAATTTCATGAAGAAAACATGATAAGTACTTGTCAGAGGTTTTTCTAAATAAAATACCAGATTTATACCTAAATAAGTTTATCTATCAGCGGGAGACTTTATACAAAAGTCGTTTGCTTGAGCACCTCTGTCCCATTCGTGTTTCTACCGTGAAACAGTTATGTTTGTATGGCTGTGTTTCGGTTTGAAGAGTGGGATATGGCAGTGAATATACAGGGTATAGAAGAATGATATCTAAGTCCTCAGGAACGGCAACGCATGGGGAGTATCATGGGCAAAACAATATACTCTGTTATGTATATGCTACTGCTCATGTCTATAGGCGACGGTTACCACTTTCCTTCAATTGGGCTGTCAGCTTGTTTCCCATTCTAAGTTCTAA